TTTAAAATATTTCGGTCACCTTTTGAAAATCTATGGTTCTTAACGTTTTACATCATCTATACATATAGATAGATATGATAGATAGAGATATAAATAATTATTGCTTATATATATAGATAGATATGATAGATAGAGATATCAATAATTATTGCTTGGGTTCTTTATTTTTTGCCCATACATATTCAGTGTATATTTGTTGCTTTCTATCTCTTTTCACGGGTCTAAGGAGAGATATTGAAAATCTACATTGGAAATCTCTCCTCACTCCTCGAACAAGTGAAAATAAATACAACTACTCTATGCAGTTTTCATGGTCTTTGATTTGATGACGCTGTCATTCGTATATGGGTGTCTTGCCTTTACGTGAAATATAAAAATAACACATGACTTGTGTATTTTAAGAAATACTTAGTGAGTGACCCAATTACTAGGATCAGGAATGCAAACAAATGCAATCATGAATAGGGTTTCCTCCAGTTCGGACAAATTGGATGTGTAGTACTTCTCTATACACGATTCACACATGTGAGAATGAGCCCACCAAGCAAGCTTGCACACCCCTTAGGCCTGCTGGTCGAGCTAGTTGGTTATAATCAGACGTCCGAAGGTACTGAGACAGTCGTGCATCATGTCAAGCATGATGATCATCTCATCATCATAGTGTTCGTGTCTGTACTCATCATAAAAGGAAAGTATTCACATGCATGTTCACAGTATGCATGAGGTCCCTATACTTTTCATACATTTCTCATATATTACCCAATGTAACATGCATGTCATAACATTACTTAGTTGTTTTGCATCAGAAAACTCCTCATTGTTATACGTGTCCTAGTATCTCATACATTTAATGGCCAAGCATGTTCATGTCATAGTGCAACATGGCATCTCAAACATACAAATTTTCATAACGTATCATACCGTCATACATCTCATGTCATCATAGTATATCACATCATAACATCATAACATAACATAACATATCATCATAGCATAACATATCGTCATAACACATCATATCAAACACATAACACATGCAGAGGCCACTAGGCATGTGTCATCATACAATAGATAATTTTTTTCCGATTTTAATTGGGTTAATTTTTTTGAAATTAAAAAAAAATGGTTTGGTTTGCAAGTTCAATTTTTTTGTCGGGTCAATCCCACCAACCTAAAAGTGGGTTATAATCCACCGTACCCTACTTTTTAAAATATTAAGAATATTTAATGTTTGTGACGGATGTTAGCAATATGTTTTGAGTCGTAAATGTTTGATATTTGAACTTATAAGATTAATGATGTGAATAATTTTTTAAATTATTGAAAAATATCTCGACAACTCAACTCAACTCAACCCAACCCAACCTGAAACTAGAGGGTTAGGTTATGAACTCTATTTGAGTTATTCGAGTAACTAACCAAAAACGTTAAGTTGGGTTAGGTTATAAACTCTATTCACGTTACTCTGTAACTAACCTAATGAATCCACAACTTCAAATTGATTCAAAAGATTTGTCCAACTCAACTCGTCGATTACCTCTTTCTTACTATTTTTCACGTGAAATATTTGTCTTCTTTTATACGTATTTTCTCTTTCCTTTAATTAAAAAAAAGGAATTAAAATACCATTTTTACATTTTGTGAGAAAAAAACACAACACAACGAATTTTAAGGTTTTGTATTTTTTAAGACAAGAACAAAACACAAGGAAAATGAAGCAAAAGTAGTGACATTCATGTCGGCTCTCGTGAATATAAATGCAAGGACAATCTTCTCCAACTAATCTTGGAAGCATTTGGAAATATCATTTATCTTCATTTTTTTCTGTAATTAAAAAAAAAATCTAATATTATATTAACCATTTCGCTTTATTATTTTAATATTCTATTAATCATTTCACTTTATTATAAAATATCACGATCAATTATACAAATTTAAAATCATTTTATTTTAGCGTGACGCTCGAGTAAACGAAAGACACATCAATAATCGTAACCATCTCCGAATGAGACTAATTCTATATAAGAATTGAAGGTTGCTACTTATATTAACAACGTGCATCTTCCTTCTCCGTGACTTAGCCTTAGTTTCGGGTAATATTGTATCAAGTGATCTTTTAAGCGGTTTTTTATTCTTTCATATTTTAGTAGAAATGAAATTCACGTATGTTGATGTCGAGCTTATCGGTATGTAAGAATATCGATGAAACCCAGACAAACCTATGTTTTGAAGTTTGTATAATTTTAATATGTATTTCCAACGTTTTAAAGAGAAAACCCGAGCAAACTTCATTTATTTTATTTAAAAATAATCGTGTTTCATTGACTTTTATAATTTCGTGAAGAACACATGCATTTTGAATCAATTTTAGTCAACGTGATAGAATATCGTTCTTTCAAACTTAGGTTAGTTTTGAACAGACTGCCATAGAATTATATCTTTCATAAACGTTTCAATATCTACAAAAATTTTAAACTAAGATTTAATTAATGTAAATGTCTCATTCAGTGACTGTCATGTAGTTCTAAGCCACTTATGTATCTATTAAATTTTTTAAAAGTATTATATATTTTTTTCTTTTTATTATTTTATTATACGCATTATACCATTTACGAATATAATAATGCATATCCACTTGTCACTCGTTGATTGGAGAAATGAGATATAATGTGATAAATAAGATAATTTTGAAAATCATTTAAAAGATTTAAAAAAAAATGTGATTTCTAGCTAAGTTGTCCTTGGTGCTTCCTTAGTTTAAACACGAAATTCAAATAATTGACTTTGAAAATAACATGATGTATAGTTATGTTTCTAAGATTATTCAATGAATTTAAATTATTAACTCGAGCGGGATGGGGAGTGAGCACGCAATGTGTTGGCTACGAGAAAGAACGAGAGTAGCATGGTGTGTTTGACTGGGAGGGGTGGTGTGACATGGGCGTGGACATGTGATGTGGCAATTCTACGGTTAGATGTGTTTTACTAGAAGTAATTCTACGTTAGGTAACTTCTTGGAAACTTTTTTAAGATACATGTGAGTGAGGGCAAGATATGCTGGAATGACTTATGTTGATATGTGGGGATAATCTTTACTCTTAAGAAACGAATAGTAGGTAACGTGATCCTGTCGTAAAATCAAGCCAAAAAATAACCTAACTCGATTCAAAATGGTATATGACCTGACCAATAAGATTTTTTAAATTTTGGAGTTCGATGTAATACGCTTATACCTCGAATCAAATCATGTGGGTACCAAATTGATAAGGCATTTATGAGAATGATACTAATGGGCAATATTATGAGAAAGAAATGGCTATCAATTGGCCACTAAGGCCTTTGATTCTTATAAATGGAAGACATTATGAATGTAAAGATACCAAATAAAGTGAAAATATCTTTGTTGGGAGGGGGTTTTCATAATGAACTCCCCACAAAAATATGCTTTGTGGGCTTGCAAATATGTAAGGTATTTCATTTTATATTCATTTATCAAGTAATGGATTGAATTTATTAGTACTAAGATGTTTTTTTATTATTATTTGGATACGTATAGTCATTTGCCTCACGGTTTTAAAACACTTCTGCTAAGGAGAGGTTTTCACACCTTTATAAAGAATGTTTCGCTCCAACCGATGTGGGATCTCACAATCGATCCTGGTTAGTGTCTTCGTCAAGGCTCTGATACCATTTTTAACAACCCAAACCTACCGCATGCACATATCGACCGCTTTGGCACGTTACATATCGGTGTCTGCCTCACGATTCTAAAATGTTAGTTTTAAAAATAATATTTTATTTATCATTTTAAATCTTTGGAAGTGGTGGAAGGTATAGACTCTTGATATTGTTGAAGATTATGATTCAAGCATTATTATTTTGGATTTGCCACTTTGAAAAAATATTATGTTGATGTGATTTTAAATATAAATGTCCAGATCTCATGTTTTTCACGTTGCAATGTGAATTAAAAAAAAAAGTAGATCCATTAGACATCGTCATGAGTTAGTGTATAGTTGGTCGATCACGACTTGCTCGTTCACTCGAACCAACTTAGGCACCCAGCCATAATTGGCACAGTTTTATAATGAGTTAATTGTCCACTTTGATCGAAATATGATTCAGGTCCCACGTGCTTTAGAATATTAGAACTTCTATGTTGTGTAGGCATATTTTGGCCGGTAGGTGAGCTACTTGCTAAGTATTATGGTCAAATTCGGGCAAGATAACATACTTGACTTTCACGTAACAACAAGGTTGTAATGGTCCAAGCTCACCGCTAACAGATATTATCCTCTTTGGACTTTCCCTTCGGGGGAGGTTTTTAAAACGTGTCTACTAGGAAGAGGTTTCCACAGTCTTACAAAGGGAGAGAGGTTTCCACAGTCTTACAAAAGGTGTTTCCTTTGGACTTTCCCTTCAGGGGAGGTTTTTAAAACATGTCTACTAGGAAGAGGTTTCCACAGTCTTACAGAGGGAGAGAGGTTTCCACAGTCTTACAAAAGGTGTTTCCTTTGGACTTTCCCTTCGAGGAGGTTTTTAAAACATGTCTACTAGGAAGAGGTTTCAACAGTCTTACAAAGGGAGAGAGGCTTCCACAGTCTTACAAAGGGAGAGAGGTTTCCACAGTCTTACAAAAGGTGTTTCTTTCTCCTCCCCAACCAATGTGGGATCTTACAGTCCAAACCCCTTCAGGGCCTAACGTCATCACTGGCACTCATTCCTTTCTCCAATCAATGTGGGACCCCATCCTTACTGGCACACCGCCTCATTCCCTTGGAGAAATAGCCTCCTTGCTGGCACATCGTCTGATGTTTGGTGTCTGGCTCTAATTCCATTTGTAACGGCCCAAGCCTACCACTAGTAGCTATTGTCCTCTTTGGGCTTCCCTTCAAGATTTTTAAAATGAGTCGAGGGGTTTCCATAGCCTTATAAAGGCTCTCCAACCGATGCGAGATCTCACAAATGCTCTTTTCCTTTCGACCTTTTATGACAGTAAATTTTAAGTCAAATAGAAACCGCTAGTATAATGTCTAAAACGATGTCCCGATCGAGATTGATTCGTTTGAGTGCTATACAGAGAAGCTGAGATATAAAATACAGGGAGGTGTAAAAGGAGTATCTCAAACAGAAGGGCCAGATCTGAGCACTCTCTCTAGTTTCTCAGCCTTGGTGTAATCCTTTTGATTGAGAGGCCCCGCAGGGAATGGAGTTATTTCCACAATAAGATGTGGGGTTGGAAGCTCATCAAACAGAGCTCTCACATTGTTGCAGCAAACACTCTCCCCATGAGCACTTTCCCTCCTGATCTGACAACCCTACCAATGACAAACCAAGTGATGTTTATAACAACGAAACGACGTCTCCTATGTCGTAATGTCTTCGAGAATCATGAAACGAAACGAAACGAAAAGGAAATGGCTTGCGTGTGTGAAGAGTGAACGGTGTAGATACTAGACATCACATTATATAGAAATGAAGGAATGGATTTAAAACCTTGTGGGAAGTGGCGTCGATGAAGTGGTCGTCATCGGAAAGGAGGGATGCGATGGCTTTAAGAAGGCGTCGTCCTTCGGATTTCGAAGGTACCCGGTAGTTCCTTCTGAGGGTACCCTTTGTGGTAGGATGCCATTTGCTCACTAGTTTCCTTTTATCAACTGCTTCATCCACTGTCAATAAAAACAAGAAAGTAAAATATTCGTTCACGGTCAAATTCTAGATGCTATGCAACAGCCCAAGCCCACCGTTAGTAGATATTGTCTCTTTAAGATTTTCCTTTCGGGCTTCTCCTCAAGGTTTTAAAACGCGTCTACTATGGAGAGGGTTTAGCCCTATTCTGACCGGTGCCTTGTACCAGCCGGTGATTGGCTCTAATACCATTTGTAACATCCAAGCTCACCACTAGTAAATATTGTCCTTTTTGGGCTTCCCCTCAAGGTTTTAAAATGTGTCTACTATAGAGAGGGTCTAGCCTAACTCCAACCAGTGCGAGCAGTGACTGGCTCTAATATCATTTGTAACAGCCTAAGTCCACCGCGAGCAGACATTGTCCTCTTTGGGCTTTTCCTTTCGAGCTTCCCCTCAAGGTTTTTAAAACACGTCTGCTAGAAAGAGGTTTCCAAACCCTTATAATGAATGTTTCATTCGCCTGTTCAATGTCAAATCTCACAATAAAGGGGAATTGAAACGATACAAAGAAGATTAGCATGACTCGTACGTAAGGATGGTATCAAAAAATGGTATCAAAGCCAGACATCGGGTGGTGCCCCAACGAGGACGCCAAGCCCCAAAAGGGGGTGGATTGTGAGATCCCACATTGGTTGGAGAGGAGAACAAAGCATTCATTATAAGGGTGTGCAATCCTCTTCCTAGCATGCGCGTCTTAAAAACTATGAAGGAAAACTCAAAAAAGAAAATTCAAAGAGGACAATATCTGCTAGGGGTGGGTTTAGGCTCTTACAGCCATAGTGTCAGAAAATGGTGCAACATCACAAAGTCCCATAATGATATGATCCTTCAGTTGATAATTGACATAACAAGTTTAGTTTACATCCAATGGATATTAGATATTGTAGACCAACCACGAACATGAATGACCATACCAAACTCTAGGATATAAGATCAAACACATTATTACAAGCAGGGTTGAAATGTAGCAGCAGCTTAAAACTGCAATGAACATTTCAACTCAAAAACATTGCACACAAGGATCATTTAGAATTGTAGATGGGCTACAAGCCTACCATTCCAGACACTCCTTTTAGTAGGATATAGATATCACATTCATAGAATGAATATTACAAAAGGGAAACTATAAACAAGAACGTCCTATCAAATAGAGTTACAAAGCATAGCTTCCAGCCCAGCATTCAATATAGAAATGATCAAATTCTTCAGTTCATGATATTGATATACAAGTTTTGCTGAGTTTAGTGTGTTCATAAGTTCATAGATCAATCAATGAGCAAGAGAACTAAAATCCCACAAACCTGGCTTTCCTCTTACAACTTCCAACCACTTAGAAAACCCCAAATCACTGATACTTTCCCCATCGGAGAATTCCAAATCTGGAGAAGAAAAACAATCACAAACACAAGATTTCCCAATAAAAACGAGAACCCACAATCAAAAAAGGGGAAAACACCACCAAAAAAAAAAACATTCAACAGCCTAGAAATGAAGAAACACAGATGAAGAACACAACCTGAAACAAGTGGATTAGATTGAGATCCAGCTAAACCAACTCTAAGAAGGGCATAGAAGATGCAAAGTCTTCCAGCCCACAAAATCGGCGCCTCGATTAAAGAAGCGTGAGCGATGATCGACGAATTGAGCCTGTTGGAGCGGGATTTATTGAATCTTTTGTGGAAAATGATGAATGTTTTGAACGAATTTTTGGCTTCGCGTCCAAAATCAGGGAAAAGGGTTTTAGGAAGAAGATTGATCGAATGGAGACTTTGTAAGTTGAAGCGGAAGTAGGTGAATTGGCAAGGCGAAGGGAGAGTGGTTTGAACGAGAGAGTGAAGCATTCTTGAGTTGCAGGCTGAAGAAACTGTAATCGACGCAGAGCGCGAGAGAGACGAGAGTGTGAAGCTCTTTAGCTCTAAAACGACGTCGTTTAGATTTTTTGTTAATATTTCTATTCCTTGTCAGTTTATCCATTTGGAGAATTATATTAAATGTCCTATTAAGTTTTTTTATTAAATAATTTACAAAAAATTGACGTCATTAATAAATTTTTTTGTTAGATTAAGAATTAATATAAAAAAAAATAGATTTAAAAAGACTAGATTAAATGGATGTTTAATAGATTTATTTATTCATTTTTTAAAACTAATAAAAATAATTGTCTTTTTTTTTTTAGTTATGATATATAAATGATGTGAATCTAATGTAATTAATTGAGAAATATTATTTTTTAAAATTATGACGTAAGAAATCCAAATGAATATCATAATATAATGAACTATATTAATATTTATTATATTGATTAATTAATTTAGTTTTTTTTTTTTTTTTTTGGGTAAAAAAAGAGATATTTGGATAGAAGACAATTGGGCTNTATGGGCCTAGTTATTGGGCTTATCTATACCTACATATTATGTATAATATATATATATATATATATATATATATATATATATATTCTTTATAGGTTACATTATAAATGGTAAATTTAGGTACAACTCTCTCCTTAATTTCTAGGTTCTATTTATTAATTAATTAAATATATATTTCTTAATAGAAAAATTATATTAAAAATAAAAGACGGAAAAAGAAAAAAAAAAAATATATATATATATATATATATATATATATATTTGTCTATTATCCATTTTATAGTTAGAGACTTTGGTCTCTACCAGAACCATGAATTTTTTGTTTCTCGACTTTTCAGTTAGTAGTGTTTACTTGATATCCCGACCAATCCGAACCACCAAAGGTTGGATTAAATTTTTTCGGTTTGAGTTAGGTTAAATTTATGAAGAATAAAAATTTTTGTTCCATCTACGAGTTAACATTTAAAATAAAGTTATAACTTTACCCTATTTAAAATAGATATATATAAATAAATGTATATATAACTGAGGTTACTTACAAACATATTTGAAATTTAGTAGAATTTTTGTTATTTAAAATTTTTAATCTTAAATAAAAATATATGATAAAGCTACAAAATCATGAAGGGTCCATTAATAATAATTAGGGTTAATTATTGGTTGAAAATTATAAAGGAGAAGATGGTCCATGGGTTTAAAGAGAGATTATAAAAGAGTAGCCTTTTTTGTCTACAAATTGTAAAACTAACCTATTTTACAATTTTATAGGTGGGCCCATTTCTACTAATTCTCAAAAAAGTCATTTTTGCCCCTACCCATTCTATTTATTCCATTTATTTTTTAATACTTTAGTTTTATTATTATTAATAATTAATAATTAATTAATTAATGAACCATGGGTTAAAGCTTAGAGTGGGGACTGAACGGATAGTAGATTAAAGAAATTGGAGATATTATTCATCATCATTGTTGTGATGTCTCACATTGGCTGGGGAGGAGGAGAACAAACCACCATTTATAAGGGTGTGGAAACCTTCCTCTAGCAGACGCGTTTTAAAGCCTTGAGGGGAAGCCCGAAAGGGAAAGCCTAAAGAGGACAATATCTACTAGCGGTGAATCTGGGTTGTTACAAATGGTATTAGAGCCAGACATCGGACAATGTGTAAGTCTTCTCGCTGTTCCCCGAAGGGGGGTAGACACGAGGTGGTGTGCCAGTAAAGACGCTGACCCTAAAGGGGGGTGGATTTGGGGGTGGTCCTACATCGATTGAAGGATGGAAAGAGGGGTGGATTTGGGAGTGATCCCACATCGATTGGAGGAAGGAAAGAGTGTCAGCGAGGACGCTGGCCCCTAATGGGGTGGATTGTGATGTCTCACATTGGTTGGGGAGGAGAAAAAACTACCATTTATAAGGGTGTGAAAACTTTCCCTAGCAGACGCGTTTTAAAGCCTTGAGGGGAAGTCAAAAGGGAAAGTTCAAAGAGGACAATATCTGCTAGCGGTGGATTTGGGTCGTTACAATCATCAACTTCTCAAGTTTGGAATCCATTATCAACGTCCTTCCACAACTTAAAATATGTTGTTTGGGAGCTCGAGAGCTGAAATACCCCATGTTCGAGTTTCGAATTAGGGTTTTCAATCTAAATTCAACATTTGATTGTTTCAGCATCCGTGTGACATGACCACGTTACCCGTTACCTATTCTGCTTGAATGTTTTTTAAATATCCTTATTCACATGTTTTTTTTAGAGAAATTCTTCGAAAATCACCATCACCCAACATAAGAACTTCAAAATTGAACGTGTTTAGCTCGGGAGCAATTCTATGTTGGGTGACTTCGTAACATTTTGTAAAACCGCAGGTGAATAAAGACAAAATATGTTAAAACGACTCGTGTTGGTTTGTGGGGATGATTTTTGCTCTTATAAGCAATTCAAGATAAGTAGCTAATGTAGTCGTGTCACATAAGATGCATGAGAATATCAAAACCATCAGATACCAAATCTAAATTACATATCACGAACGCCCTAATGTCATGTCATGATCACGAGAATCAACGTGAGAGTATGCAAAGAAAATTTCAGTGGTAAGTGGGCCTTAAAAATTTTATAATAATAACTATGACAAATTATAAGAAGCACTTACAATCCCTCAAATCCCTCAAAGGTACCATTTTGATATGTTTAGTAAACTAATGCTCATAACATTATAATATAAGCATCACATGTGTACCACTTTTGAAATAATAATTAAACGTGGAAACGAGAGATCTAATGTGGGTGTGGTCAAATGATTGAATCGTGATACCAAATTTTGTGATTTAGATTTAATTAAACGCTCATTACGCTAATCATTTCAGTCCGTTTCAAAATATATGAAAAGAAAATTTTATACAAGAATTTAATTTTATCGAAATTTACTTATTCAAAGTATACGTCATGATCGATGATATATATTTTATGTTAGTTGAGTTCGGTTCGGTTAGCTATTGAAAAAAGTGATTCCTACTTATTAATTACATTTTTGACCTAATTTCGGTTTTAATTAACCTCCCTCCCTCTTTAAAGCTTGATTTGGCAAGGGAGTAAGTGGAGCAGATATGAGAGCCAATTTGAACATAAACTCTAGACTAAAATGTCATTAATGTGATGTCTCACATTGGTTGGGGAGGAGAACAAAACACCATTTAGAAGGGCGTGGAAACCTTCCCCTAGCAGATGCGTTTTAAAGCCTTGAGGGGAAGCCCAAAAGGGAAAGTCCAAAGAGGACAATATTTGCTAGCGGTGGATCTGGGGCGTTACAAATAGTATCAAAGCTAGACACCGAATGATGTGCCAGCCTTCTCGCTGTTCCCTGAAGAGGGTAGACATGAGGCGTTGTGCTAGTAAGGACGCTAGGTCTCGAAGGGGGGTGGATTTGGTGGCGGTCCCACATCGATTGGAGAAAGGAATGAGTGCCAGCGAGAATGTTGGGCCCCAAAGGGGTGGAAACCTTCCTTGGACAATGTGTCAGCCTTCTTCTTGTTCCCTGGACAATGGGCCCTGAAGGGAGGTGGATTTGGTGGCAGTCCCACATCGATTGGAGAAAGGAACGAGTGCCAGTAAGAACGCTGGGTCCCGAAGGGGTGGAAACCTTCCCCGGACAATGTGTCAGCCTCTCGCTCTTCCCCGAAGGGGGTAGACATAAGATATTGTGCCAGTAAGGACACTAGGCCCAGAAGGGGTGGAAACCTTCACCTAGCAGACGCACTTTAAAGCCTTAAGGAGAAGCCCAAAGAAGACAATATCTGCAAGCTGTAGATCTGAAGATCTGGCCGTTACAATTAATCTCTACAATGTTCCACTAAAAAAGTTTGATTTAAAATGTATATTGCAGATATACCCTTATAAAACTAATTATTTGCACTCTCACCATAGTGTGCCAAATAATAAAACATTATTTTTTATAAAAAAAAAAAAAATAATAATTAATTACTAGCATATAAATATCCATAGAATCTTGGTACCTATGTGTTAGATCTGTGTATATTTTTTTACTAACTAATATAAATTATTTATCATTACCTAACTTCAATCAGTACTTTATATTATTTTAATCATAATTATAATTATAATATTTTTAAGCATATAATAAGCTTTAACATAAAGTTAATGATATTGCAAATGGCCGAAAGAAAGGTGGACCCCACATAGAGTTATGATTTTAATTAATATTAAGACTTTATTATTATTATTATTATTTATTTATTTATTTAGTTTAAATGGTTACCATGTGCCTGAAATAGTAAAATATAGAGCTTCCAATTTATTATTAATTTTAAAATATACATTTTTTTTCTTATAATAAAATTATATACATTTATTTTTATTATTTATTCTATTTAACATGGGTTTAAAATGTCTCGGCTCGACCCAATCGGATCCACAAACATTTTTACTATTATTGACGATATTTTTTAAAAAAAAACATTAAAAGTGACGTGTAATAATTTATTTGAAGAAAAAGAAATTAACACATTTTGGTCCCCTTTTTATTTTAATACAACTATTTAATTTTTATAATTAAAATTTTATCACAATTTAATAAATTACCAAAATAAAGTACCCTTCCTTAATATGTAATAAATTTTAAATTTTAAACCTTGAAAATAAATTATCTTCAACAAATTAAATAATTGCAAATTAATTTCATAACTAATTATCAAAATCGAAAGCAATCTCGACCAAATAGATTCTCGTAATAACATAAATATTTAATTTTTACAACGAAGAAAAGATTCAAATCTCGAAACTTGACATGAAATTCAACGAGATTCAGGAAGAACTAGAAACTAGTTCTAAGAAACGGTAAAAATTTCGAGTTTTCTTTTTGACATAGACGATCGTTTATTTACAGAAATTTTGATACGGTCGAGACTAAAACACGATTATAGAAATTCAGGTAATTCAGTTGGTAAGAAAGAAGAAATAAAGCATAAGAAGAAGAATGGCAGCACTCCATGGAAACAGAAGCAAAAGCAAAAGAAACCCAACACCCCATGGAAATCCCACAGCCGCTTGGTTATGGCTGTAGCAACTGTTTCCGCCGCCCCCTCCGAGGGACAGCCAGTGAACGACGACGACCAAAAGCAGCGGCGAGACGATGACGAGCCTCTGTAACACCTCGGAGGCCGAGGCGATGGCGGCGTCGTAAATGGCATAGGCCAAGAATCCGGAGATTATAAGAGCAATGGTTGCAAGAAGCCATTGGTCGGAGAAGCTTGTTGATCTGGTATATGCAGCCATAAGAGAAGGAAGAAGAGGAAAAGGAGTGTGAAGAAATATAAAATGGGTTTGCTAGTTTTGGCTTATATTGTGGACTTTACTTGTACTAATTGGCTCACCCACTGCACCTCCCTATCTTTCTCTCTCTCTAGATTTTGACTCAAGAAAACCGCTCGAATCCAAGTATTTCAGATATGTATCATATGGTTATTAAAGGGCATGCGAGTTTCGACCTTTGTGATAATTAATTAGAGTTGAAATGAAGTGGGGATCACAGAAAAAGACGTATCTGATAAATGAATGATTCAATATTGTCCGACCCGAATGGATTCTTCAGTTTCATTGAAGGGATTCTTGTTTTTCTATATGAGGTGGATGTACTTTAGAGTGGGATCTATTTAGAACAGGGAGCGGAAAAACAATTAGATTATGACTCTCGTTGAATAGTTTTTCTTAAAATTTGAATCAAATGTTGCTCTAAGCGTTTTAAGGTTAAAACGTTAAAAGAGAAATGGCTTTGAAGCTAAGAACACAAAGAGTCTTTGGATCCAAATAGTGTGATATTCTCTTGCTTAAAAGGGAATGAAAATGGCCAAAGAAGAAATCAAAATGAGAACAAATTGACGTTTAAAGGGTATTTATTGGAGAATTATGTATTATGTGAAAAATAATAATATTCTTGAATTAATTAAACCCATTACGTATCACTGTATCACGTATCACTGTCAATCTCAATTTTCAAAACGCAATTTACTAGGAAAAAGTTCACATTCTTACAAAAATGCTTCGTTCTCACAATCCACCTCTCTTGAAATCCTTGGAAGGGGAACGAACCATATCTCTCCCTAACAGATATATTTTAAAATCGTGAAGCTGACAACAATACATAACAAACCAAAATAAACAATACCAGATAATGGTAAGATTGAGCTTAGAATCAATTATGACCATCTATTAGTGTTTATCAATAATATCACTTGATTTTAAACGAAATCTTCTTAAACAGTTTCAAAGACTAAAAGTTTAAACGAAAATTCTAAAACGCTTACACCCCATCAACAAAAGAGCTATCCAGGAAAGAAAAAGTTGGTCGAGTTAAAAAAAAAAAAAACGCTTACACAAGTGCTTGTGACCAAAGTAAATCTCTATCTACATCAAAGTTGGTGGGTATCAATTTATTCCTTAAACTTGAATCCAAGACTTGTGAGATATACCTTAAAGCCTATGCTTATCACTTTGCAACCCACCAAAGCATTTAATGAAACAAGAGGAAATCACAGCTCATTTTCAGATAGAACTCAGAATATGATAGACACTGCCATAGAATTGGTTATGATATAAATATATCAAGGTTATCTGTCATTCTACATTTCCACATTACAACAATGAGATAAGATGATGAACAGTCCAACAATTCAATCAGTAGTAGCATACAACATAATTTTATATTTGATCTCTTGGAAGAAAGAATTACCTCTTCAGGCGACTTCTTCGGACGATGCAGAAGAATGCTTTTCGAGAATGTTGGGGAACTTTTTCGGTAGACTAAACACAGGCGCATCTGCTGCGAAACCTTGAAACGCCATGCCTAACGAGTATCCTAATGCTCGAGCTACCGGTACTGCTACAGCATTTCCTACTTGTATGTACCTGTTACATGACCAGACCAGTTTTGGGGAGTGTTCATATGAATATGTTCGAGCACGATCGGATAGAGTTATGAAGTTCATAGAATATATACCTTTCTTTCACTGGCCCGTGGAGCTTGTAATAATCTGGAAAGCCTTGAAGTCTTGCATTTTCACGAATCGTCAAAACTCTATCTTGCTCTGGATGTGTAATTGCCTATTATCAGTGGACGTCAAGAAAATGAGTCGTTGAAGGTTCGTCCCGAATGCTATTGCAAAGCACCTTAAGCTTTAAAAAAGTACTAAAAGAGCACAAAAGTAGAGTTGTAACCTGGTTGTGAGGCTCTGCTCGAGTAACGACTGTTGGCACCGTCTCGTCCCACCATAAACGAGCAAATGGCCTTTATCATTTCATAAAGATAGGAAATATGAGTAACGAGATAGGACGTTAGAACGAATAAAGAGAGAAGGAAGGAAACATCGTTGCTTACTTCGATGATGATCCATTTACGAAACTCATGGCGTAATCAGGAACCTGCAATTACAATGATGAAAGTTACAATCTGACACAAGAACAAGTAAAATTGTTTAAACTAAAGAATGAAACCCTCAGGTTTCTACAGTTAATCTGGGATACACAAACATCTTACCAAAGGCTTTCCAGATTCCAAATATACTCTCTTAACGTCAGGATCCCATTCAACTTTATTATCGGGACGAACACGAACGCCAGGTAAATCTCTAAAGTTTGCTCCCTATAAAAGATGTAGGAGATTAAGGAATGAAGGAATGAATATATAATACTCGCCAGCATCTCAAACATGTTAACATTCTAGAACACCTTTCTCTTCGGGATCTGACAAACTCGTTGATAGTCATCTGTATTTAGTTCGAGTGGCCGATGATCATATAGTTCGTGCATTGCTGGCTTTAACTTTTTAGAAGAATCAAATCTTTCTGTAAATAACAATGGCAGAACCATATTCAAACAAAGAAATTCGAAGTCGTAGTGCAAATCCTATTACAGATTATAACTAAGGATCCCACAGTAGCTGACCTTCCCTAGGCGATCTAATTAGACGCTGAAACTCGGTCTTAGGAGGTTGGTCATAAGGCATTTCATCCCGACGTTCAGAATTTGCAATCTGCATATGATTAAAGCAAACGAAAAAAATGAAAATGTATGGAAAAATTTAAGAACTGAACCAATAAGTTAAGATATGTAGAACATACAGCAGGAAGATCAGAAATTGCATCTTCCAAAAGAAGCTTCTGTTCCAGCTGAATGTCAGTATGTCGTTCATCATAAGCCACGACATTCATCTGCATCGTTATCATACGATCTTGTTAGATAAAATAACAATGAACCCATAATGGCTCGATAAGATTCCATACCTCAAATTCAGTTGGAATTACACCTCTCACTACAACATCGTGACTTGGAAGAGGATACTGTGGAAGTTTCTGAAAAAGGGAATGAATGTTATTACGAGTCCATAGGTCCCGAGTAGTAAAATTAAAAGTGCTTATGCATGAAGTGACCTCGGTTGGTTGGGCGCCCCACATAAACATACGCATACGAAATTGTGGAAGTCCATATGCACCTGCTGCCATCATTCCCATACGAACTTGATAATTCATTGATATTAAACGACCAAGTGCATACCGTCCCAAAAATCCATTGGCAAACTTAACGATATCGACTACGTTCTCCATCAAAACGTATTTAGGCCTAAGATACTCTACTAAGTCCATATAGACAACAAGCTGTTTGTTTTTTTCATCTTCCAGTGGATTTTCTGTGTTCCTGAAGCGATTGAAGCCACTAATGCCTTGGCAGGGAGGCCCTCCACATATAACATCAACATCACCCTATCAACTCAAAAGTTCTAGTAAGAATAATAGTTAAAAACCAAGTACTGAAAAGTTCAATAAAATAATTAAACTTACAGGCAAAGGTAAACTCTTTGAATTGTAACCACTTGTCACGAAATCTTTCAACTTTTCCTTGCAGTTGCTGTTAAATAGGACGTAACAATCAACTCAGTTAAATTCTGAATCGTGCACACGTATAGATCATACAACTATACTAGGCATGACAACTTCAATAGAATATGTACCTCAACCCCTCGATTGGCTCCCACGTGTCTTCATCAGGGCCATAACCCTTCCAACGGACCTACATTCAAATAACATGCGTATTAATATTTTAAATAGGCATGTGATGGAGATGCTAGAAGAAAATTGTAACGGTCAAAGTCCACTACTAGCAGATATTGTCTCCTTTGGGTTTTTCCTTTCAGGCTTTCCCTTAAGGTTTTTAAAACGCGTCTACTAGAAAGAGGTTTCTACACCCTTATAAAGTATGCTTTGCTCCTCTCCAACCAATGTGGGATCTCACAATACACCCCCCTTCGGAGCCCAGCGTCCTCACTAGCACTCGTTCCCTTCTTCGATTGATGAGGGACCCCTCAATCCACCCCCCTTCGGAGACATGCGTTCTTGCTGGCACACCACCTCATATCACATCACCCAATGTCTGGCTTTGATACCATTGGTAACAGCCCAAGCCCACCACTAGCAGATATTGTTCTCTTTGGGCTTTTCCCTTTTGAGCTTCCCCTCAAGGTTTTTAAAAATGCGTCTACTAGGAAGAGGTTTCCACATTCTTATAAAGTATGCTTCGTTCACTTCTCCAACCAATGTGGGATCTCACAAAAATTAAGTCGTCAAAGTTCAGGATGGATTGACTCTAATATTTTCATGTTTTAAAATCTCCTTCATCCATGTTTCCAATAGCATCTTATTTAGGCTAGACAAAAAAATTACCAACTCTTACGCAATTGTTCTTATGACGAAATATATTGATCTAAATTATCCAAGATCCTATGTTTTCTACATTACCACATTCTCTTAATGGAAAATAGATATCATACGTACATGATGAAAGTCATATATACATCGAACTGATTTAGCCAAATGATAATTAAGATTCAAGCATTCAAATACCTTAAGAAACAATCCACGCTTTTTAGTTTCGTTGGGATCGCCATAGCATATTGCAAGTACTTTTTCTACTTCAAACACTTCTCCATCATCTTCACTCTTTTCATCTTCCTCTTCTTCTTCTTCCTCTTCTTCATCATCATTAGCAAAAAGATCAATGTACTTCTGTTGTGGCTCTTTACATTTTACCAAAGAAAAATATTTGCAAAGCACTTCCCATTCTTTCAACAACGATAAGAAATCCTCTGCCATTTCATTTCTCACCTGCAATGTAGAAGAAACTAAGAAAAAAAGAAGCATAATATAGTAGAATATCAAGTCAAATTCAATCATAGAAGTATACCTCTGTCTCGGGGTGATTGAACTTTACACTTTCACAAGCATATTGATTCAAATCAACTGCCCATTTCTACAAAAAGAAAGAACAAGGTTAAAAAAAAACTATAAAATAAATGTCTTTTGATTAGTTGTTTTAAGAATTTATAGCAACATACCGTGACTAGGTTCACCCCGGACAAATTGGCTCCTAAGCACAATCCAGTAGACATAGCCCCACATCCTGAATACAAATCGAGGAGTGTAACGTCAGGCTTACAACGTTGCTGTGCTTGAGTGACATCCCCAATTTCCGAGTTCACTTCACAAGCTCCATTGGTATCAACCTCGGAAGAAATTGTTGATGATGTGTCACTGCCAATCCTTTTCTCACCTACAAGTTAAATATACACAAACTATAAATTCTCAAGACTTCAGTTGCAATTGAAGGAACATGTTTCCATAAATTAATCCTTTTACAAAATTACTTGCTGGCAGTTTAACGAACGTAGAATATGGTAGCAAGTATAACATGTCACAGTGGAAGTCACACACTGGAAGATGCTTTTTCTTCTTATCCGTGGCCATCTGAAAAGAAAAACAAAATTAGCCTTACGTTGTAAGAAAACTCTAAAACATTGACTGGCGTAAACAATTCAAATCCGTACAGTTAGAGGTATTCTAGCTATATTTAGCTTCCTAACGAGGCAATCCAATGGATTATCGTCCCGAACTTCTGAAAAGAAAACACGCTTGTCATTGATGAGATGAGCATGGTCTTTCACAACCTAAAATGTATCAAACAAAATCCAATATTAGCTAGTCATCATACTAAACAAATCTGAGTAAAATGTAATGAAACTGCATCATGTTCATCTTACAGTATCTTTAGCTCTATAATACCATTGTGCAGTGAAATATAGTTGTCCATCGACAGCCTCGAACATTTCAACAATTCTGCATATATAATCGTCCTCCCCATCCTCAGCCTAGACAAAATTTTCGATGAACAATTATAATAAGAATCTATGCCTAGAATTTATTAAAAAAAAAATCCAATAAACTCGACTGTTAATCATACCTTCACATGGGCATCATCAAAGAGATTATAAACGATATTGTCGACTTCAGCCACTGAATAATGATGCAGAGCCTGGACTACATCCACAGAGTCGTCCCTATAAAATATCAAAACATAAAGGTAAGGAGAAGGAAAAAAAAACTGGCTAATCTATAGAACGCATCAAGTCTACGCAAGAAAACCACGCTCTTCAATAAAAAATATGCACTGCCATCCTTCTGACATTTCTTTTTTAGACTATTCTTAATTCATTGAACTATAATTAAACGCCCTCGGTGCGCAAATGGCTTGTAGCAAATAACGTCAATCAATGATGAAAAAATGTTGAATGTTGTTCCATCCCCTTTTGAGATATTTGACGTAGAGAAATAGAAAAATTATTAGAGAGGTGGAGAGCTCTTGGAAAGGAAGTTTCTACCTTGGCTAGGTTTACTGCCTTCTTCAGGTCTCAATCACAAAGAATTGCAGTAATTATCGTGTCTCTCATTCTTACGAGTCAGACCATTTTGCAGTCTTGTTTTATTGCTTGCTTCCTCTACCTTGAACTTTTCTTCATTGAATTGCCCTCATGTATTTTTTTTCATTTCTTTTCATAAAACTAGTTTTTACTTAAAAAATAAAATAAATAGAAATGACAAGAGCCTATATAATTGAATCTTGCATGTCGATATGTATTCTACAAACATATAGTTATTAGCAAGAGTCAGATAGTCCATAAATTAGACGACCTTACTCAAACAGGATCTGTTCTATAGGCTGTGCAACCGTGTACTTGAGTTCTAAAGATAGTCCATAGATTAGTGACATTACCTCGAGTTTTTTGCCCCAGCTACTTTCTTCTTCTGGAAAAATAGATAGCGAAAAAACGATGAGAGTAGATATGAGCTAGAAACTAAACTCGTTCGGAATGAGACATAATTATGAAAATCATGAAAGCAAACTACCAAATCACACTACAAAGACCAAGTTCAGTGGAAAATCACTTCACTTGAGACTTGACAAGCGTTTGTTAGGGATTTTTAAAAGCATCACTATTTTTGGTTCTGAACTGTTTTCTGCTTTGTAAATCATAATGCCAAACAAATTTCTGCCCTAATTTGTTAAACAAAGCATGATAATCAATAACGACTGCAAAATACTCCCTTGAAGCTTCAATCGTAACCCTAATTACTATATCTCCAAGAACAAATACTCACCTCACTTCAACTCCGTCCAAAAATCAAGATATGGATTCACTTCCCTCTCACTATTTTTTTATAGCTAAAGACCTTTGTTAAGAACAAACAACCACAGATTTTTGAAATTCAGCAACATGCAGCAGGACAAGACTTCTAATGCTCAATCTAAGCGCTTCCTCTCACAAAATACCTAAATCAAAGAAGATCGAACACAACAACCACAGCTTGTTGAAATTCAGCAACATGCAGCAGGACAAGACTTCTAATGCTCAATCTAAGCGCTTCCTTTCACAAAATACCTAAATCAAAGAAGATCGAACACAACAACCACAGCTTGTTGAAATTCAGCAACATGCAGCAGGACAAGACTTCTAATACTCAATCTAAGCGCTTCCTCTNTCTAAGCGCTTCCTTTCACAAAATACCTAAATCAAAGAAGATCGAACACAACAACCACAGCTTGTTGAAATTCAGCAACATGCAGCAGGACAAGACTTCTAATGCTCAATCTAAGCGCTTCCTTTCACAAAATACCTAAATCAAAGAAGATCGAACACAACAACCAGAGCTTGTTGAAATTCAGCAACATGCAGCAGGACAAGACTTCTAATACTCAATCTAAGCGCTTCCTCTCACAAAATACCCAAATCATAGAAGATCGAACACAATTACACCAAAACTCCATACATACAACATTGATCCATTTCCACATCAAGTAAGATTTCAAGGAATAAATTTCAATTACCTTTCCCTGATACCTCAAAGGCCACCGCTCCCTGGCTTCATTATCCGGAATGTGAGGCTTCACAAACCTAGCCGCAGTCTCCTCCTCGTCGCCGTCAATCTCTGCCTTCACCTTCCTGGTCTGAGCCTGAGTCTGAGTCTGAGCCGCCACTTTAGGGGAGAGAGAAATGGGACTCGAACCATCTCCATTGAGCTCGGTTTTGAGCTTCTTGTTAGGGGAAGAAACATCAGTGTCGGGCTTAACGGAGGTGGGAGTGGCGGACTTGGAGCGGCGCTTGGCGGGCATTGTCGGAGAGGATAAGAAAAATCAGACAGGGAAGGGCGGGAAAGGGAAAATAGGGCGGAGGAGAGAGATCAAAAATGGAGTAGAGAACAACTGAGAAAAGAAAGCCCCTTTTTATAGTGTCGGGGGAAAGGGAAGAGGAAAAGGGGGCAAGATTTCGAAGTTGGGCGGGAAGTTGAATTTCTTTTGGATTTGATTAAAATGTGTCAGAAATAGGTCTGGGCCGAGTGAACCGTTGATTCGGGTCGTGTTTTGGATCCGACCCGGTGTCAGTGATGTGACGTGTATGTGTCTGCTTATTTTTAAGTGTGGTCGGTACCCTTACAAGGATACACTTTAACATAAAGTTATCTAAAATGTTTTTTTTTTATATAATCATATGTATAATATAATTTAAAATAATAATTTGTGTGGGAAGGGTAATTTGGGAATTTCACTTGTGGTTTGTGTTTCAAAGGATTATTAGTAACGATCTTATTTCTTAAAAAAACACGTCTTGTCAGTTAAACGAGATCGTCTATTATAAAAGCTACATAATTAAATAAGTTTTTAAAATTATTAATAATATAATTACAAAAAAAAAGAAATATAATAAAAGCCTGTAGATTTTGGGTATGGAATTTTTTTGGACCAATCCAAGAGTCAGGTTGGTTGAGTCAGTGATTTGAGCCACAGAATTCAAAATCCAATCAAATCCTCTATTTTTTCAGTGGAGTCTGAGTTGTAGTCTTTTTAAGATAGTTAAAATTCTACTTTTAGATTTGTCAGACCTGACTCAGTAGTCTGACTCCTAAGTCCATTGAATTTTTAATTTTAAAAGCTGAAATTCTATTTTTAGATTTGTCTGACTTAACTAAATAAACGTCAGACTCTGAATCCCATGAATTTTTAACTTTAAAAGTTGTAACTCTACTTTTAGATTTGTCAGACTGACTCAACTAAATAAACGTCAGACTCTGAATCCCAATTGAATTTTTAACTTTAAAAGTTGTAACTCTACTTTTAGATTTGTCAGACTGACTCAACTAAATAAACGTCAGACTCTGAATCCCAATTGAATTTTGAACTTTAAAAGCTGTAACTCTACTTTTAGATTTGTCAGACTGACTCAACTAAATAAAAGTCTGACTTCTATGTCCTATTGAATTTTTTATTTTAAAAGTTATAACTAACTTTTAGATTTGTCAGACTGACTCAACTAAATAAAAGTTTGACTTCTATGCCCTATTGAATTTTTTATTTTAAAAGCTATAACTAACTTTTAGATTTGTCAGACTAACTCTGTCAGACTGACTCAATTAAATAAAAGTCTGACTTCTATGCCCTATTGAATTTTTTATTTTAAAAGCTATAACTAACTTTTAGATTTGTCAGAGACTAACTCTGTCTGTCTGACTCAACTAAATAAAAGTCTGACTTCTATGCCCTATTGAATTTTTTATTTTAAAAGTTATAACTAACTTTTAGATTTGTCAGACTAACTCTGTCAGACTGACTCAACTAAATAAAAGTCTGACTTCTATGCCCTATTGAATTTTTTATTTTAAAAGCTATAACTAACTTTTAGATTTGTCAGACTAACCCAACTAAATAAACTAACTTTTAGATTTGTCAGACTAACTCAACTAAATAAACTAACTTTTAGATTTGTCAGATTAACTCAACTAAATAAACGTCTGACTCTCTTGAGCCCAATACAATTATTTATTTATTTTTAAATTTAGTCAGACAAAATTCAATTTTTATAGTATGAGTTATCAGAGTTGTCGGAGTTGGTTAGGTTATTGAGTCAAAAGAATAATTGAGCATTTAACCAATAAAAAGTTTCTAAATTTCCGGATTGGTGGATTCGTTTGTGGAATTTCCACGTAATATTATTTATTTTTTAATTTCATTACAATTTATTATTATTATTATTTTTTCACTCAGAAACAAAAATCCACGTGGTAGAGTAACCTCGTCATCGGGCAGAGCAATAATCCTCTGCTGCATCATCCACCGTCCATCACCATCATCATCTCCCTCCACCCCATCATCCAACGGCTATCGTTCCCCAGTTCCGCCATACCATCCCTAAATGACAACAGTTCACTGGCCCGCACTTCGATGGTTCTTAAAAAACTCGTCCACCAATTTGAATCTTCAACTTTCATCCATCAATAATTTCTTTAATCCGTAAAACAATGCATTTTTTTCTTTCTGGAAAGAGCTTGATTGCGACGTTTTTGACAATCTTATCCATTCCTTCCACTGAGATAGATCCGTAGCGACTATTTGAAGAAGAATTTCAATCCCGCGGAAACGCATTTTTGGAGAAGGAAGCTCGTTTCTGTTCTGGTTTTGTGAGATTTTGTTATAGTTTTGCAATATGAGTTCGTCTAAGACAGTGAGGAAACTTCAGGTGGAGTCTCCAGTGCCTGCGGATATAGTCATTGCCAATTCTGTGGCGCCGCTGCACATCGATGATATTGCTAAAGATCTCAACCTTAGCCCCACTCATTATGATCTTTATGGCAAATACAAGGCCAAGGTGATTCTGATTTGAGTGATTCTATGTTCTAGTTTGTTTTGATTGCCTGATTAGGAAAATGGTCGTAAAATTGTGTTGTCTTTGATCTTTGTTTAGGAAATAAAGTTGAATTGAATTCTAAACTGTTTGGAGGGCCAAATCTGAGGGTGTAATTATGTGTGGATTCAATTGTGTTGGTGTTTGGTGTTTGGTTTGCAGGTATTGTTGTCTGTTCTTGATGAGCTTAAAGGATCTAAGGATGGATATTATGTGGTGGTTGGGGGGATTACTCCTACTCCTCTTGGGGAAGGCAAATCCACCACAACTGTCGGTCTCTGTCAAGCTCTTGGTGCTTTCCTTGAAAAAAAGGTAATTTTCTCTCTTTTTAGATTGAGTTGTATGATTGCATGTTTGATTTCATTTTCAAGTAGTTTTGTTGGTGCACCTCGACACTGCTCGATAACCATTTGATTTTTAAGAATTAGCCTACAAATACTACTTCTACTGATGAATTTAGGTGTTTTTGTAACATTCCAAATCTGCCACTAGCGGATAGTGTCCTTTTTGGCTCGTTACGTACCGCCATTAACCTCACGGTTTTAAAACACATGTATTAGGGAGAGATTTCCATACCCTTATAAGGAGTGTTTCGGTCTCCTCTCCAACCCTTATAAGGAGTGTCTCCAACCCTTATAAGGAGTGTTTCCATACCCTTATAAGGAGGTTTCCATTCCCTTATGTGGGATCTCACCGGGAAACAAAGCATTCTTTATAAGGGTGTGGAAATCTCTCCCTAACAGAAGCGTTCGAAAACCTTGAGGGAAAGCTCAGAAGGGAAAGCCAAAAGAAGACAATATGAGCTTGAGCTGTTACAGTTATGTTATCTACTTTCTGCATATGTTCTAAAAAACAAAGTCAAGTTTTAAAGGAAAGGAAAACTAAGAATTCAAATGTTTTCTTAAGAAATATGAAACCAAACCATTGTAAAGAAATGATGAGAAAACAATTACAATTTCCAGAAATTAAAGTAAAAACTTAAATGGTTATCAAATATGACCGTAGTTGTTCATTTCTAAGATTACAGTTCAAATTCTGCAACACAAGGAGATGAAACATTCTATTTACTGTTGAGATTTGAACTTATCACCCAATGGGGTTGTATGGGTAAAAAGATCCTAAACTAATAATTGTATGAATTTAAACTCCGAACTTTCATGAGAGTATCAGTTCATAGACAAATTTTGCTTAAAAAACGTTAATCTGCACATGTGCAAACTTATAATTGTTTAGGCTGATTTCAGGTGGTCACCTGCCTTCGCCAGCCATCACAGGGACCAACATTTGGAATAAAAGGTGGTGCAGCTGGAGGGGGTTACAGTCAAGTGATTCCAATGGACGAATTTAATCTCCACCTAACAGGAGATATTCATGCTATAACAGCTGCAAACAATCTTTTAGCTGCTGCTATTGATACCAGGATTTTCCATGAGTCAACACAGTCAGATAAGGCTCTTTTTAATCGCCTTTGCCCGCCGAACAAAGAAGGTAAACGAAGCTTTAGTGATATCATGTTCAGACGTTTGAAGAAACTCAACATTGCCAAGACAAAACCAGAAGATCTGACACCCGAAGAAGTTACGAAGTTTGCCAGGCTCGATATTGATCCAGATTCTATTACCTGGAGAAGAGTAATGGACGTAAATGATCGGTTCTTAAGGAAAATTTCTATTGGTCAGGGTCCTGATGAGAAAGGGATGGTGAGAGAAACTGGGTTTGATATTTCAGTTGCCAGTGAAATAATGGCAGTTTTGGCCCTTACAACATCCCTGGCTGATATGAGAGAGAGGTTAGGGAAAATGGTAGTAGGAAACAGCAAGGCTGGTGACCCTGTAACTGCTGATGATCTCGGTGTCGGTGGCGCTTTGACCGTGCTCATGAAGGATGCTATTAACCCGACACTAATGCAGACTCTTGAGGGAACTCCTGTTCTTGTTCATGCTGGTCCTTTTGCTAATATTGCTCACGGTAATTCCTCTATAGTGGCTGATAAGATAGCTCTGAAGTTGGTAGGACCAGGTGGGTTTGTAGTCACAGAAGCAGGTTTCGGGGCCGATATTGGTGCCGAGAAATTTATGAACATCAAATGTCGCTATAGCGGTTTAACTCCACAATGTGCTGTAATTGTGGCGACGATAAGAGCGTTGAAAATGCATGGGGGCGGGCCACAAGTTGTTGCAGGGAGACCTCTTGACCATGCCTATTTGAATGAAAATGTGAGTCTTGTTGAAGCTGGCTGTGTTAATTTGGCCAGGCATATTGCAAACACCAAGGCTTATGGTGTGAATGTAGTTGTTGCTGTGAACAAGTTTGCCACAGATACTGAAGCAGAGATGAATGCAGTCAAAAGCGCTGCCTTAGCTGCCGGGGCGTACGATGCTGTTATTTGTTCTCATCACGCTCACGGTGGAAAAGGAGCGGTAAGACACTCGATCCCGATAATTAATAATCTTTTAGACAACCAACCCTGTAAAATGCAAAAGTGATGTTGTCTTTGATGACAAATTATCATGTTCTTTTGATTGGGTAGTAGACTTTATCACGTTCTTCATTTCTGTAGGTCGACCTCGGAATTGCAGTTCAAAAAGCGTGTGAGAACGTAACAAAGCCATTGAATTTCTTATATCCGCTTGATGTTGGTATTAAATACAAAATAGAAGCTATAGCCAAGTCCTATGGAGCCAGTGGGGTGGAATACTCTGAACAGGTGAGCTTTTGTTGCTATTACTATATATTGTTCGCATGCTATCAGCTAAGAAATCGTTTGATTTGCGTACCATATTTTGAATGATTGATGCAATGATATCATAGATTCTTGTTTCTTTGACTGAAATAATCCATCTAAGAACAGTAAGACAATGAACAGTAAGTGCTGGACTCCCAAATCTTAAGACATGTACAATTGAAGATACAAAGTTTGAGCTTCCTTGATAAAAAGAAACTAAACCCAAGTTCATCCATGTTAGTTCAGTTCAGTTCAACAAAATAAGGACGATCTTCAACCGTGTTGAATCGATCTTTCACTACGGGAAGCATCGGATCCTGTAGTTATTGATTTACCTTTATGTTTACTTATATGAGTTGCCCGCGAATCCTGCTAGTTCCTAGGCCATCAACCCCTATCAAAACTCCAATCAACAACTGAGGGCGACTCAAAGAGGCACTGCTAGAGGAGCCAGAGGGCCAAGCGGCTAAATTTCTCCAAGAGTCCTATTATTCCTCTTGGGAAAAGACTTTGATCCTAGTTGTAAGGCTCGGATATGGTGCCATCATTACTAAAAACTTAAAAAACTGAACATTAAATTAGTTAAAACTCCGATCTCCTAGCATTTCCTTCTGCAGTTGAGAATACAATTGGTTGATGTGAAAGAGTTTCTGTATAGAAACACTGATAAGAAACTGAAAAAGGTTTACTGTTTGAATCACAGGCGGAGAAACAGATTGAGATGTACAGTAGGCAAGGATTTTCAAATCTACCAATCTGCATGGCAAAAACACAATACTCCTTCTCACACGATGCTGCATTAAAGGGAGCGCCGAGCGGATTCAAGTTGCCGATAAGGGACATCAGGGCTAGCATTGGTGCTGGCTTCATTTACCCTTTGGTGGGAACCATGAGTACAATGCCAGGACTCCCTACAAGACCTTGCTTTTACGACATCGATCTCGACACCGCTACTGGGAAGGTCATTGGTCTTTCTTGAATGAGCCTTCCTCCCAAGCAGTTGCCTCGCCATCTTTCTGGTTTGTTGAACGGCCTGCCTCAAAAAAGTTCTTGTCCAAGTACATGTTTTTTTTGTTTAGTTTTCTCAACTGTTGTTATTCCGGTCTATCCTGTAATGCAACCTTTGCTGAACTTTGAACAGTCTGAAGTTATATGTCCTTAATAAAGTGGAAGGAGGGAAATAATGTGTGTGTGTTGTAGCGTGTATTTCCCTTCCTTTGTTTAGAATATATCTATTTTGATGGAGAATAATAGAAAGAGCCATTTTCAAATTGGTGGTAGATCCTTCCTTTTAGACCTTATGCCTTTATACACTACATATTCTTTTTTGACCTGTAACAATTTTGTCTAATATATACACTATCATGCCCAACTTAAGATGAATTAAAATCGAAGTTACATATGGAATAATAAAGTTCCAGGAAAGTTACTTTTTTGGTCAAGGTTCGATTTATCCCTGATGTTTGAAAACATACCTTTTAACTTTTAGTAAATAAGTTCAAAAGTTCGTTTGTAGTCTATGAATGTTGAGAAGTAAGGTTGTATATGGTTGTAATCCTCTCACTAAAGTACATGTCTCCATATCAATCTATTACTCGTGTCTTTCGAATAAATAATCTATATAGAAAGGTTTGAAGGAAATTAAATCAACAACATATGTTGTACACTTTATTTTCCCGGGATTGTAGTTCAATTGGTCAGAGCACCGCCCTGTCAAGGCGGAAGTTGCGGGTTTGAGCCCCGTCGGTCCTGATGGATCCAAATCCAATAAAAAAAAAAAAAATACATCAATTCATCTAGCTTAAGATCAAAAGAATCCATAATTTGATATAACCACAACTTGTGTCATTTCTCTTATAGCTTAGTCCAAAGCTCTAGCTAATCGAAGCTTGGTACACTCGGGTGGTCTCGATATGATTCTCTTAATAATTACTAGATACTTCTAAAATAGAGCCAGAAAAAAGAAATCCAAAATTACTATCAATCCCCATGCTTAAATTCCCAATCAAACTGAATGTGGGATCAGGGGACGAGATAAACAAACTAAACAAAAAAGGGCGTGAAATGTCTCTCCAAAAATAGGGAAAGTACAAAAACCAAATTCTCACGTCATCAAAGGCCACTTAATTTTCTTTCTTGAAAAAAAGAGAGAAAAAAAGGGGAGAAGAGGAGAGGGTAAAAGAAGTCCACTATGAATTTTGGCAATTCTATTGGCGAAGTTTTCTGTTATAATACTCAATAATTTCTCCATTTGAAGACAGGAATGGAAGCTGCAGTTTACAATCGTGTTCTGCTAAACCCTCCATTTCATTGCTCATATGAAACATTCATATTCAAAATGAACGTTACAACACAGTACCTCCTACATGCTACAGAAATGTTCGTATGAACGGCAACTTAATCGACATTAATACACATAAAATCAATAATCCAAACCAGACAAAAAAAATGCTTAGTGAAAAACAAATAAAATTAAGAGGCTATAAAGATTATCTCTGTTAATTAACTACACTGCTGCTAATAAGTCGTGAATAATGTTCAAACAGCCGAAAAGCAGACGAAGACGAAGTGCACAAATGGCACAGCCTCACATCTCGTCTCATCATAGGGCAGTGTTGGGATTGTTTCCAGCAAGAATTAGTGAGATCTCGAGCCCTCGACTGAAAGCCTGGTTGAACATAAGACGAGTTTGGAATGTCGATACAAATGGAAACCACGAAAGAAATGCAATGGGGATAAAGACAAGCATCCCCATCCCGGCATCATACAGACGAGCAATTGAGCGGATGGATTTCCAGAGTCCCAGTCTCTTTATCAGAGGTTTCCAAGCTGCTGCAATCTGAAACAGGAAATGTTCTTATGTCAGGATAGAGTGCTAAATTTTACAAAACTAGGGAAAAGTCATTGTCTTCTAATTCCTCCTATCAACCAGAGTGTACATACAAGTATATTGTCAAANAAAAAAAAAAAAAAAAAAAAAAAAAAAAAAAAAAAAAAAAAGAAAAAAAGAAAAAAAGAAAAAAGAGGCGTTGCAAGTCTAAATTAGATAATGTTGCAAGCCTAATATATTTTTAGAAAATAACAAATGAGAGAAAGGCTAACTAAATCATAATGATAATCTAAATACTCTCGATACTCCATACCAGTAATCTAAATAAATCCATAGATATTAGTTAACCAACCATATAAATTAGCGGGGTTCCCTTATTTAATAGAATTCCATAAATATCCTTCTATATATATATATATATATATATATATATATATATATATATATATATATATACGTGCAGTAAAACAATAGGACAACTAGACTCGGGAACTTACAGAAAGAATGCCCCATCCTGTAGGTACAAATGCCAAGATGCAAGCAAATACATCAGGGAGTGTCAAGTCTGTAATAGCGACCGCAACGGCCAGGCCAGCCAGCGTCAAAAGGAAAGATAGACCTTGGATAAAACGCAACAAAAGCTGGAAATTGACAGTCATCTTCTGGCTAAAGGTAAAAACCTGCAGAACAGAGAGACGTGGAGTTCTAATGACTATCATGCATATTGGAAAACACAAAGGAAACCAGTCGAGTTGATAGCACAAACCTTGAAAAGAACTATAAGCCCAGCTAACACAATCCAGGAGAACCCATATACCTAAAGAGTTGCACATTTTGGAGATTACAACAAGTTAATAACGAAGAAAAGATGGCCTTTAAACTACTTGATGACTACAAAATATAATAACATCAAACTGCTGCTCATTTTTTATTTTTTAAAAACTAAAACCTCCTCATATTTTGAACTTTGGCATCCAATATTGGTAAGAATTAAATAAGAAAGTGGAAAAATGTATTTCATAGAGAGACCATACCGACAATGATGTGTTTGATCCTTGCACATTGAGCTTGTAAACAATGCCATATTGAAAAATAAAAAATCTTAGATTCAGAATAGTCTCCGCTATCCGCCCTTCAAGAGTTTTTATATGTGCCTGCAGATTGTAAAAGCACTTTACATTTTGACCAGAAAAGAATGACCCAGTCCAGCATAGGTTTACCAAAATGTACTTATCTGGTTCATTGAATAGCCTTTATACAGGAAATATTTAATGGTAACTAACACATAATCTATCAACACGAGGTAACATAAATCCATATCGGTAATTCTGTTTTGACCCTACCACAACATTGTTGCATTGAGAGGGAACTGATATTATTATTAAGTACAGACCTAACGAGCATTGCATTAAAGTTCATATAAAAGAAAAAAATAAAATAAATAATACATAAGTTCATAGAAAATTGAATTACCAGTTCTGAGTCCCACCATGCTTCCCAGCTTTCTTCACCCTTAACACCAATTCCACCACGGTAAAAAAGCCAATTGGTCCATTCTCTGAAGTCCTCCACGGTCCTAAATGGAAACATAGGTAATTAGATTAAGATTATTTTTATCTGGAAGATTCAGAAGCTGTCGTATCCTTCACACGCTAATAAGAAAAGACCTTCAAGGTGCCAAATTAAGGAAGAAACCGACGGAATGGTGAATATGACTTACTTCTGCCATTCAAACCCCGATGGATTGAACAAATAGGGAGCAAAAAGCCACGATATTGCCATGAACCAACTGCTAAGAGTGACAAGGATGTATGCTAACGAACCACCTGAACTATATCCGTAGGCCATGTATACAACCAACAGGAGCACAACTTCCAATCTGAAAATACAATAATGTAGATAAATTATTATTTGTAATTAAGTATACTAAAACGATATTAGACACCATAGATTTGAACTTAGATTCAATTTGGTTGGGTTATGAAAGTTCAACTAGTCTCTATAGTTTGGTCAGATCACACAGATTCACTTTCTGTAACTATATGAATACGTGCCATATTTTCTATTTGTGTGAAACGAGCTGGTACTATCTAATTTGTCAAACTGTGGTCACAAATTATAGTCTAGTAGATTACAAGACAGCTCCTATAGGATAATTGTCGCACGTTACAACATTTGAAAACTAGCATAATACTCAATCTCCTCAATAAACTATCACGATGTAGACCCCAGTATCTCAACATATTTGGGTTTATAGCTGGTTGCATTGACAACTTAAATAAATTAAAATAAGTTTTTTTAGATTTTAATTTTGATCTTGTCAAGTAAAGGATGGTGCCAATAGCACTACCCATAAGCTTAAGACAGTAATTTACACAAACAGCAGAGTTCAAATAATACATTAGAAAATTTTCATGTGAGAAGAGAAAGAATGACACAAACCCTTTAACAAAATGGCTGCGAGAGTACAGTCTGTAATTTTCTGAGAATTTGATATGGCGAACCACAAAGCCCCTTCCAGTTGCATGATACTGTATAGAAGTAGAGTTCTTGAGATACTATATGGCAATCTTCGAGATTGACAAAGGAGCAGCAAAAATAGCAGAACAAACCTTTGCACCACCATGAAGAATTGTTCGGCCAAAATAGTGAGTTTTTGTGCCAAGAGAGAATGTGAAGTAGACAGAACAAAGCTGAAGCTGCATGGTTATAAAGCTGACAACAGCCTGCAACCGTAATTCAGAATAATATCTGAGAGAAAATAAAGACTGCTAAAAAGAAGATAACTAATTAATGGTCTCGTTGACAAGAGCACCGCTTGCACTTGCTCTAGCATACGACAAACAAGGGTGCTTCATTGGGCCAAAAAGCACTTACTGTTATAGTTGAAGCTAATCTTCAGATTAGAGAGAGAGAAATGACAATGATATCATCATGTAAATGTTCAGATTATACAAGACCAGTCAATTTTTTTTTTCTTCCTACAAAAGTGTACATATTTCAGAACAGCATTTACCCTGAAGAAACCTTGCTCCAAAATAAATCCCAAGATCATCGGCACTGCAGTGAAGATACCAATTTGGATAAGGAACTGTGTATTCAAAGCAGCTGACAATGCAGTATTATCTGTAATATTGGCTCTATCTTCAATGCCCTCGCCAACTCCAGACAGTGCCTGAAACACAGCCGCACATCTTTTCAGTATATTATTTTCTGAAAAAGAGGAAATATTTCCATACAAACATGTAAACTAGTCGTAGTTAGGTGTACAAGTTGAAACCCAAAAGCCAAAAAGACCAAATCCAATTTTCAAAACCGTGGTTCCAGAATCAATTTTGACCAAAAGACAATCGGACCCAAGCCCCTAGTCAGAGTTAAGTCCAGCATCACAGTGGTAAACAAGCATAAGAAAAGAGTACATCAGATCTAAAAACAAATGAAAAATAAGCCATTAAAAATAATTAACCCGGTAAACATTGAAGCCTACTACTTGACCAACTCCACTGGAATTCACCTCAACTGTATCAATCGAGTGTTTTAGTGCCTCTGGGATTTATCAAGAAAACTTAAAACTTTCGATTCTAGGGGCATAGAACTACTTCCAGTGAAGCCTATGACCGCATTATCAAGAAAATTTTAAATTTACATCCCACTACAAAGCAGAGAACTTCTAAAGAAGAGAACATCTTCTATACCTCATATGTAGAAATATAGTAATTGCATACAATAAAACTTACCAAATATGCTTTTCCATAGAGAAAAATGTACACAGTCAACACCGTTAACTGCAAAAGATCATAAAGAAATAAAACGGATCAGATTTCTTATAAATTATGATGACAGAATTCTGAGGCTTAACTTATATTACTCATTAACATACAATTTTTTCAATAAATAGTAAGAGGTCCTCAATAATACTTTATTTTGTTGCTTTGTCTTGCAACATACTTCACTTCGATGCAAATGTTTCTAATTTACAAGAGAGGAGCATCAATACTTTTCCTAAGATGAGTAAACATATATCACAGGGACTGCCTCGAAACTAATATGGATTAGAATCGGCTGGTATCCAAACTTAAAAGTAGGCATAATTGAGATATTTTGTACGTCATGCATGTCATTGTGTGAAGGTACTCGAGTTTAAAAAAAAAAAAAAAAAAAAAAAAAAGACAAGATTAAAACACGTAATAAAGCATTAGCTTTTCAGAAAAGGCACGCAGTAAAACTATGTAGCAAAGATTAGGGCCTCTTTTTTTTTTCCAGATAAACAAACCATAAATATCCCTACTAATAGTGCGATGAATTCAAACAACTTCTCAATATAGGAATCTACATGTTGTATTGGCATACCATAGTACAAAAGTAGTAGCCAACGGTCGTAAAATAGAATGACATCATCCGGAAAAAATCAAACAGTTGGCCAAGTCTGTATACATCACGGCTAAGAACTTGTTCTCCATTACCACCAGCAACCTTCCCTTCGAAAAGAGCAATCTGATTAAGACCAACATCTCGTCCTTTACCGACCTGAAACAACTCAAACAGTTTCATTAACTTCACCACTTCAAATGATGCCAGATTAGAAAATTAAACGATGACAAATCTCACCTGAATATACTCATGATGAGTGACGTTTCCTTGTCGCAAAGTTGTATTAAATCCTTCAATACAGAAAGGTATACAGGTAATGAAATCGTATGTCTCATAAAGGGCATTAAAAAATGTACACCAGTAGTCATCAAGAAAATAAAATATGCACACAATACTATAACTAATAGTATTTATTTATTCTTTTTCATTAACAAAGTTGAATACAACAGGAACGCAGAAGTCAAGGAGTAAAAGAAATGATAACATATGATAAAACTTAATGCAGAAATTACATTAATCAAAACAGTTCAATTTTTTTATAAATATAAAACTGAACCTTACATGAAAAATGAAAACATAACATTAGAGTTCCTTTAACAGTATATAAGCCGTTGGTGCTTGTGGAAAGATTTTCTCCAGCTGTGTTTCCTTTATCCAGATAACTTAATCGAAGTAATTTTTTGTATTCTTTTTCAAAAAAAAAAAAAAAAAAAAAAAAAAAAAAAAAAAAAAAAAAAANTTTTTTTTTTTAAAAAAAAAAAAAAAAAAAAAAAAAGAGGAAAAAAAAAAGAAAAAATGAAAATTAATGGAAACAACCTGTTTCAGAAATTTTCAATTATCAGATATAATTTCTAGCTTAGTTACTTTACCAGGGAAACAAAATCTTTTTGCAAATGAACAAAATATATCAATCACATCACTAGGGAACCAACTATTCAGTAGCTGTGGATTCTATACATGGTATAACAAAAACAAGCCATTAGAGTTGATAACACGGGAGTAAAGATGTAATTTAAATGAACTAAATCCACATAAATCCATTCTAGCAAGTAAAAGACTATACCTGCATAGATATCTTCACTAATGTTGATAACACGGGAGGCCTTGCTGAAGCCACCTCGTGTTAGATGGAAAACCCTATCAAAAACATCTGGATGGCCATAATGCATACGAACTCTGACCAATTGGTAAAAGAGTTACTCCAAAGTGCAAACTTGAAAGAAAAGTCAGAAAATAGTAACATAAAATATTGATTGGATTATGGCGAGTACATACTTCAAGGGATTTGCCAGAACACGCTGACCAAGAGTCACAAAACTAGCTTCTTGATTTGACATGAATGAGGCCAGAGATGAAACACTACACAACAGATGAAGCGATTAATACTTAACATGAAAAAAAAAATAGTTAAGAAGAAGGATGGGAATTATTGGCTGCAATGGAAAGTACCTGCCCATGAAGCGATTATTACTTAATATGAAAAAATAGTTAAGAAGAAGGATGGGAGTTATTGGCTGCAATGGGAAAGTACCTGCCCGTAAATACATGTTCCCTGACACCCAGTATGGTAGGAGGACGAATACCATGATCTTCACCAAATTCCTCAAGAAGATTTCTCATTTTCAATGCTTCTTCAAAGTAATTATCCTAGATTTCCAGAATCGCACATGTTACAACCAATCAAGATGTATTTTTTTTGACACAACGCTACTATGTTTCATGAGCCACAAACCGTGTTCAGTATATATGGGAGAGTGTGGAGCATAGACATCTACACTTACATATGTCCTATTGTTGGCTTCATTGAGGGACTTACACTACACACTCGTGTTTTTTCTTTCCATAAATTGTTTAGATGAACAATTTTCTACCATATTCGCGTCTGAACAAATCATTTTAAAAGGCATATCTTTTCTTGTCTATCCTTCTTAGATTATAACAAGATACCTTATCTTTAAAGAAATTATAAACCGAGAATTCCTTATCCTTATTTTTATCCCTGTTTCTTTCATAATCTTGTTTAAGCATAGACACCACTCACATAAATAAAGGAACTTAAGACAACTGGTAAACATGAAATCTAATACTACCAATTGAGAAAGCCAAAATATAAATAAGCTTTCTGCCTACATAAACTAACGGATTTGAGTTGAATTCTTTAAATCAAGAAATAATAAAAGGAACAATAAAATAAAAAATAATAGTCACCTGATTCATATCAATTGTCTGAACAGCATTTCCACGAGTAAAAATAACAGCATGATTTTGATTCTCAGGCTTTCCTTCACCCAATTTTGGATCTCCAGGCAATTTGATGGAATATATCTCCTACACAATGGGGAAAATGGCAAAGATAAATCAATCAAGAGGTGTAAGGTAGAAGAAATAACAACATTTCAGACATGTTAGAACTTAACCGGCTACTGTAAGAAAGACCAAGATCAATTAGGGAAAAAACCTCAGATTCTAAATTTACAAATTGTTTCTTGTAAAGAGTGCGCATAACTAGATATAAGAAGTTGATAAATAAAAAACATCAGAAGAGATGAAAGCTCGAGAAGAAAAAATATTATGAATATTGAAAGGGAAAGAAAGAAATAAGACCTTATCTTTTCCATTGATATCAGCCTTCACCAGCTTTGAGTAAAATTCTTTGTGCACCTTACCATCCTTTTGGGTTTCAATATCTTCAATGTAGGCAACACGAAGAGCTTCATTTCTAATAAAAAGTATTTCAAAGGATAAGAAAATTTAAAACATAAAATAGGATTTCAAGCTAAAAAATTAACTACTTCGCAACAAGATTTTCCCCAGTAAAAGTTAAATAGCAATTACTCCTTTTGTGGAAGATTCAGTATGGGAAAAGAAATACCAACCTTTGCATAAGCAATGCAATATCAGAAGCTTCAGGTTTTTGTTGTTCTCTTTGTCTTCCATATATCTGACAGGTCACAACATACGTAAATTTAAGATCTGCCTGTGCACGTGCTTCAGGAGATAAATCGAAACCCCGAGTATCAGTATCATCAGTACAAGGAATGGCAGCTTCCAAATCTGAAATTCGTCATATGGTTAGATGATAGAATTTCAGGAGGATGAACTAGAAAGGAAAGGTGATTGTTCTGACCTCCGCTTGTTCCTTTTTCTAAATAAGTCTGCAGCATAAGAGCTTTCCTATAGTACATCATTCCACGAACTGCAAAAAATCTCCCGCAGCTTAATCTATACATGTATATCTACAACTACATAAAATATAAGAATGGACAATGGAGAAAATATCTTTCGACAACAATGCCCTCATATTCCTAGTCATTTTCTAGATTGCTATTAATACTTAAATTCAAAGTATTAAATAGTATTGTAATAAATAAATATATGATTAGATTTCTACTTAATGTTACATATGTTAAAATTGAGAATAAATATTTATTGTAATTCTACAGAGAAAAAGAAGGTTAAGTTATTAAAATTACATAAAATAATTATTTCAATAAAAATATAATAAGCTAGTTATGTTTAATAACTAGAGCTAAGGTTTTAGATATTAATTTTAGGACTAATATAAGATAATTTATAAGTAAATTATCATGTGTGCCATCCATGAAATATTAAAATAATATACATAATAATCTAATGATAAAATAACAGCTATGACATAACACTAAATTCACAGAGTGCAAAAAAGAAGTAGGGTGAAATAAATAAAATAGAAAAATTTTAAACCAACGGAAATTCCACTTGATAAATTGGATACACGATTGATAGCTTTAAGCTCTCTCTCTCTCTTTGTTTTGATAGCTTTAATCTTATTACATTTGACTAAAGATAGAATTTATTCCTAAATGTTCGAGTCTTCTTTCAATTTGATCACTGACATTTTGTTTTTCTTTTCAATCAAATCCTTATTGTCACAAATCATAAATAGTAACTAATAAAATAATGACGTAATATTGGAATAAATATACTATATTTTAATTTGATGAAATAGGCCTATCACCCTCCCATGAAATAAGAAGTTACTCGCTGCATAAAACTTAACAAGTTATAACTCGACTGGAAATTGCTAGTTGTTATAGAAAATTTTCCATAAAAAATTTAGCATACTAACAATGACAACCTTATTAAACCAACTGATTTTATATTATCCTTCTTNTAACATCTAATGATGCTAAAGATGTAATAGAAAAAAAAAAAAAAAAAAAAAAAAAAAAAAAAAAAAAAAAAAAACTCAATACAAAGAGGATTAAAATAAAACTTTCTAAAAGATTAGAGACCAAATTTCAAATTAGGGACTGAGTAACATATTTGCAATCTTTAAGCATTGACAATCTTGAAATATATATTATACCTACAAAATAATAATTTATAATTCTCAACATAATTTTAATAATGTAAGGTTAATCAATTTGATTAAAGGTCGATATCAATAATGTTTGGAATCAATTCTTCATGAAAAAAAGGTCAATATTTGCAATCTTTCAAGTATAGTTAAGGGCAAATGGAAGAACACAGACAGGACAAAGAAAAACAGTCCACTAAAAGTCTAATTAAAAAATTCCAAAAAGGACTTAAAATGGATGAGAACCAGAGTCACTAATTTGATGCTCGACTTTATTTAATAGTACACAAAAATTATTTATTGTTTTCTGAATAGAAGGCTTCTTGTAAATTGTCATAGTATTTGGACAAATTCAACTATTTAAAAAGCAAATAAATTTTATAAGTATAATCAAATACAATGAAAAGATGATGCGCAACCCACGATCTTTGAAATATAATATCACTAATCTATCCTTAGCTACGTAATCCTCAAAATTGTAGGCATGTCAATAAACAATTTGATGGACAAGAATTAACCACAAGTCAGCTTAAGAATTTACCAGTTCTTGCTAATGTCTGTCCTCGATAAGAGGCCCAAAATCGTAGTGCAAGGATGTCATTAGGGTTATCAAACGATTCTGGGTCAACTTCATTCTCATCTCGGCCAATTCGAGCAAGAAAGTTCTTCCATTCATCTATATCGATTTTTGTAGTTAGCATGGAATGCAAGATAAAGAAAATAGAAACGAGGACAAAAGAAAAAAACGGTCAGCAATAACACATACACCTAAAAAGAAATCACTGATGGAAGTGCATAAATGTCCAGAACTCATGAAAATGAGTTGTGTTGAGAATGCACTAAAAAGATATAAATTAAATTACAAATTTCATTTGTATCTAACAATTTCCAAATACATCTATGAGCCAAATGAGTACGATCAAGTTTCTGACTTTCAAAGTGTTCATCGAACAAAGATGGATGATTTGGTATGATGAGACCACAAGTAGCACAATCTATCTAAGGAGTTTGCTTGTAGCTCTTTTCTCCATATTTAAGCAATTTTTCTTTCATGGTTGTCCGTCCTTATCCTCGTGAAAAGATAAAATTCCAAAGAAGGTGAAATTACATAGTTGGTAGGTCTAGCTTGGCATAGTGAACATTATGGATCAATTTTGAGTCATTCTTCCTGCATGGTGGGCCCTCAACGATGCATCTCTTTAGGGTCTTTGGCTTGAAATGAGTGATAGGGTGGTTAGGAATATAGAGAGCTCATGTGAAAAGGTTTGGTTCCTTGGGGGGTTTAATGTCACTGTTTGGACATCGGTTAACAAAGATTTTTGTAATTACTGACCAGGTTTTTTTCCTAGGGAGTGGAACCCTTTCAGTTAGGGGCTTGGCTCCTTTAGTGTGGACTGTTTCTTTGTATGCCCATGGTCCTTTTATTTTGTATTCTTTCATTTCTACAGAATGTAAGCTTGACTTCTCGTTAAAAAAAATATCAATGTAAAATTCATATAAAATACCTGGATAAATTTTTTGCAAGTAAAACAAAGTTGTTATGCCATCCTCATTTTTCTTCAGGAGTTCCCCCATACTATAGAGCACCGTCTCAGAATAATATGGAGTAAATACACTGCATTAAAAGATAGGATTAAGATGGAAGGAAAGACAAAAGATGAAACTTCAAAAAAGGGAAAAGAAATTAATAAAATATATGAACAAAAGATGCCATAGAAAGAAGCACCACCTGAAAGAAAGCATCTGACGAACAGGTTTTGGCTTTGGCATAGCCATGAAAAGTGAATTTGTAAAGAATTGCAGTCTACGTCTGGCCTCAAGATTAACTGGAATATTTGAAGCTGAATCTTTTATGGTTAACAGCGAATGTAATCTTTTCACTTGAGATTTCTGCCGAATGATAGCAACAATTCAATATATGTATATATATATTAAATATATGAAACGGAGATGTATTAAACACAAAAGAGGGCCCAGCCTAAGGACAGAAGATTGACGAGGCCCTCCCCACCAAACAACTATACAAGCATAGAAACAATTCAATCTCATAAAATAATGAAAGCAACATGAACAAAATTGAAGAACGAGGAATTAAAAAAAGTAAATACCAATTCTGGATCTTTGGGCCAATTTAACTTTGTAAACAGGCGACCTTCATTTCTAGCTTTTACCAATATGTTCCATGTTTCATAATGCCCCCTAGAAAAATGGAACGTTACATGTCAAAGGATAATTCAAGATATAAAAACCTCAAATAACTAACAAGCTTCAGACCTCTTGTCACCAAAAAGGATATCATGGTGCACAACATCATACAAATCTTGAACAGCCTTAACAGCACCTATTTCGAGCTCCGGAGTTTCTGTCTCTTTCTGTACAATGTCATAATCAAAGTGAAATACAGAAAATATATAAGTATAAAATGCAATGAGTTTGACCAATTATCAACAAAGTGCATGTGAGGCGCTAAAATGTATACTTTTGGCAATTTTCTTCCATAAAGATCAATACAACTATTCAGGGGCTACACGTCACAATTAGACAATATAGTCTTAGGTACAATTCAATTATCAATTTCATGATATACTATTAGTACATAATGTAAGTGAACAAGCTCCTTTTAAAGGAAGTTGACCATAAAAATCATATCTGATGTTTCTCAACAAGGTAGAACCACTTTTTTTCTCTCTTGCTTTTCATTTTTATTCTCTTCTTTTTAATATGAAAAAGCCACAATGAAAATATAGATAGAATTACATGATCCAGTTTAAAAGTTTGTAAATACGAACCAGAATACCCGTCAGAGCAGTTACTCTTGTAATCACAAGTGGTAGCTTATTTAGCTGGAAGTCATTTTGAATGGAATTGTTTGCTATACTAGCTTGAATGTCTTCAAATACCCTTTCAACCCTGAAAAAGTGCAAACAATTTAAAATGGCTTTTTGCAAAAATTTAACTTTTATGCATCATAACGTTTTTTAATAGAATTGTATATGGAAGGGAAAGGTATAGAGTAGAGAGGTGGAGGATAGAACACGTTTGTTCTTCGCATGTCAGCACTACACATTTTTCCTATGCTAATTAATTGCAGAGTCTATCCTTATTGTTTCTTTTAAACTTTAATGCTCGCCTCAACTCCTGCTCTAGGAAGATATAAGTCTTCCTCACATAACTCTTTTTGGTAAGAACACTCGAGGTTTGCATATATCTCATTATTGAGCTTATTACAAAGAAAAACAATATGGAGACAACAAGGTAAATACCACGTCCTTCCTTCCCCAACCAGTAATTCTGTTAAGATAAGCTTAATTGCGTGGTAACATTCCTGTACTGCATATTTCATATAGTCATCTCTTGAAATACGCTCCCACAACTCGTCTTGTGAATCCCGTCTCTCAACAGCAATATCCTTTGCTAGAAATATCTACAGTTCCATAACCACAATGAAAATGTTGTACATAATTGGAACTCAGTGAGTCAAAACATCAAGTATTAAAAAGCATAGTTAGTCAAGTTCCATTTTATGACTGCAAGCTGACCTTGCTGGCAAGAAGAAAAAGGGGCCACTGAACCAGGGGAAGATTACCCTTGTTTTTAGGCATTTGAAGCAATTCCGATTCCCTACAAAACCAGAAAAAATTCAAATTAAAGAAAAGAAAAACGACATTGAGGCAATAGAAACAATCTAAAAAAATCAACAGCAACAGATAAGAGAACGTGAAAGTCAAATAACAGAAAGAATCTCTAGAAAATATACTCACAAGTTTGTAATATAATCTTCTTCCCTTAAACTTGCTACGATTTCATTCCAGAAGGGAGAAAATCGGGCAGCATCAAACTTATCTTTTTCAACAACCTTGATATAAACAGCAGAACATGTTTGCACTAAAACTTTAGAAAAACCACAAGCAAAAATATTGCATAAATAGAGGCATTTAAGGAAGCAAAGTAATATGATCATCAAAACCTATCATCTAAGAAGCATGGACACTTAAGTTTGGCTAGTATGGTTAAACATGGATGCTACAACACTCGTTGGACATGAATCAGACAGTTGTTAGCACAGCAGATGTGATAGACAGCATTGTACAAAGTCAATATACGTCCAATGTTTGTTAAACAAGTATGGAACACTTACACAGCAAACTAAATAGACGAAGTAATAAATTTTGAGAGTAAAATACATTAAACTCATTTTAAGCATTTGATGCATAAACTAATGGACATTGAATTTCCTTCATTATAAAAATAATATATATTAATAAATATATCCTTATCATGCCAATGTCTTCGATTTTTGAAAAATGACATGTATAGTGTCTATGTGGTGCTGTATGTATATCCGTGATTCTTAGCTTATCATCTATCCAACCCAGTTTATGCTTAACAACCTCCTTTTACAGTTTCTGAGACTCAACTCCTAATCTCCAAATGCAGCACTTCAGCCATCCTCCCTAAACCTACCAGCAACTATACTTTTAAGTTACAATAGCATTTTAAAATCTACAACGCATTCATACAATAATTTTCTGGTAGCATGCCCTTGGCTGACACAAGGAAAATATGGCAGTCCAGACACTAGTCAGACTATCTAATTGAAGTGTCAGATCTTAGAAATTTATGTTTTCCCCTTGTTGGCACTTTAGGCAGGATTGAGAAAATTTATTCAGGGGTGATGATTAATAATAACATTCATATACTTCAAAATATTTAATCACTCTACAGAGCTTGAACAGGTCAGAATATTTCTAATTTGGGGGGGGGGGGTCAAACCAGTAAATCAAGCATATTTCTGAAGCAAGGAGGCAATAGGGAACTCACCGGAGTTGAAGACTGATTTGAAATCCTGCAAAAGATGCGTTTACAGTTAGAGACCAGATAAACGGAGAAACTTTTGTTTAAAGAAAAAATGTAGTTTAAATTGGCATCTTATGAGAAATATTCAAACCTGTCCCGGGGCATAGCGTGTAAAGTGTTCATAAAGGCTCCAGGAAACTGCTCAAACAGCTTATGAACCGATTCTAATGATCTAATCTGAAGGTAATAAAAAAAAGAAAATAGAACAAATTTTAAAAGTTTAAAAAATGAGAAGGGGATAATTTGACTTCAACTACTGTACTAAAACCAAGGCTTTCATGCATTCAAGCATGTGCAGTCGTTGACTTATTAGATTTAAAACCAAACCTCTACATAACTTCATCACATCAACAAAATTAATTTATAAGAAAAAGTTCGATTTACAACCTTTGTACTTGGCTGAGTGAGCTAATTTTAAAATTAGCCTATTCATGTAGTTTACAAGGAATGACCCGTTATAATTACTAGAGCACCTTCCATAATCTTATTGATGATGCATATTAATTAATGTACCTTACCAGTAATAAACGTTGTCTTAATAACAATTATTAATAAAGAATATTACTCAGTGATATTGTTATACTATTTAATGATGATGAATTTTTTTTTTTAAAAAAAAAAGTCTCTGCACGGCCAAAGGCCTAAAATTAGGAGATCTCAAAGATCTTCAAATCAAATTCAACTGAAGATTCAAACATGTGACCTCTTGGTAGACATTGCTTAGAGACCATAGGCCTTATTCAACGAGGTCACCTTGTGGGGGCTTAACTACAATGAATTTTATCTTTACTGTTTATATAATAATAATAATAACAATAATAATTAATTAGTTCCTTTTGTGACGTCTGATAAAACTGGAACAATATAAATAAGATTAAAAATAGTTGTTATTTAGAACTAACTAATTGAAAAAACAAAACATAAAATTTTAATATTTCATTTCATAATAGAATAAAATTAAATAATTTTTCCCATTAGTGTAAAAATTGTAAAATAATTTTTTATCTTTCTCGTCCCTTCATTCCCATTCTTACCTATAAGAAACATGACCTTAAATTTTAATTTTATCCAATTGAATTTTAATCTTAAACTTGAATACAGGGTGAAATTAATAGCTGTAGGTAGCTAAATCATGTCTTTGAATTTGAAACTACATGTGTGCATTCTTGTGATTGATTTAGACTAATTTTGTAGATTTGTTTGTACTTTTTTTAGGCTTGCACATTTTTGTACCAAGTTTGAGCATTTTTATGCAGCTCAACCATGGTTCAATCATTTGTGATCAATTATGATTGGGATTGGCTTTCTCTTATGGCTAAGCGTGGCATTTTTCTAGCTGAATTTTAGATGTTTTATCTGTAAGCATTTAGGTGATTTATTCGTTGTCTTTGTTTATATTATCTAATTTGATTAGAAGAAGAGTATCATTTAACGGCTTATTCAAATTTCAGGTTCACTTTTACAAAATAAAAACTCAGTGGTTAAAATTGATCCCATCTGATTTAATACAAGGTAAAAAATAAATATTTTTCCTAATTTATTTCATATCAAGAATGGGGAAATGCATAAGCTCAATAAGAATCGACTAGTACCTCTCCAAGACGATCTCTTGCACCAATTAAGAAACTCCAAATAGCAGATACAACGGTATAGAACACATGAAGGTCCAAGATGTAAATCTACAACCATAAATTAAATAGAGAAAAGTAAACGGTACGCCCATTAAAGACAAGAAATAAAAATAAATTTGAATCCTCCTAATCCAACGATAACTATATATAGCTATTAGTTTTCATGACATTCAGGAAAAATATCACAACAAAGTGACTTGTATCTGTTTATCATAATTGATTTATATCAGCTCATTGACAACAAACTAACAAAGTGACTTGTATCACCTCGTTGATTACAAAATTTAAACTTACAGCAAACACTGGAGCCCATAAGCTAAGAACCGTCAAAGCATTATGATTATCTGCAAATACGACACAGGATTTCAGAAGTCAGACAGCCTAAAAGCTAATTGTCATAAATAATATTTTTTCTCATTTCTGAAAGGTTTCTCTTCATCAAAAGGCTAAAAAGACAAAATAAGGAGAAAAACTATAGCAAGGTTGAAGACGTAAATCATATATCAAGTAACTTTTCTTTCTGTTAGGGACATCTCTCCATATATACAAATGGCAGAGGATGAAAAGATTTTGGTTCTAGTTGATATTTTATTGATGAGATAAAAGAAAGAATGTAAAGGAGACAGGAAAACCAGCCGTACAAGATCAGGCATACAAAAAGACAGCCAAAAAAGGAGTCCAACTAAATTAAGAAAGGGCTACAATCTAAAAGAATAAAACCTATTGAATAATATGCAAAATATTTGTATATTTTTATTATGGGAAGAAAGAAGTTCTTAAATAGAAGAAACACCCTTGTACAAATAAGAAGATAAATTTCAAATAAATCTGATTCACTAAAATCAGAAATAACCAAGACTCTCCCTCAAGCTAGTTTGAAGATATCTTCCATTACCAGCTTGTTAATCATCATATAAACTTGTAACTTTGGGAGCCCCTTCTTTAACACATCAACTAATTGCTCTATTGTAGGAAGGTAGGGAATGCATATTACTCCTAAATCAATATTAAATGTTTATCAACTTCGATATGTTTTGTCCTGTCATGCCTTGTTGCCACAATAAATATGCACTAGCATCGTTTAAGAGAACTTTGATTGTTTCAATAGTTTCTTTGTCTATATACCCTCACAAAACCATGGGGTAAAGCCCTAAAATAAGCTTCAACACTACTTCTAGCCACTAAACTTTGTTCTTTCTTTTTCTTTTTTTTTTTTTGCCTGCCCAGTCAGCATTATCATTAGTATAACTTTAACCTGCAAATGATCTTGCTTCTTAAACAATATACCTTTTGCAGTAGTACCTTTTAAGTATCTTAAAATCGACTTTAAAGTGAGTCAGTTTTGGGGTATGCATAACCAACTTACCACATTAACTGCAATAGCAATGTAAGAATGTGTGTGAGACGTAAATGAATCTTCCTGCAAGTGTCTGATTTTTTTTTTTTTTTTTTTTTTCTTTCTCTTCTTGTGTTATAGTTTGCAATTTTAAATTGGGCTCAATGGGGATGTCTACTGTTCATCAACCAATTAATATGATCACTTCAAGAAAATCAATAGCATACTTTCTTTGATGGACAACGATACCATCTTTCAACCCTAGAAAAGTACAATCCATAGCTCATGATTGCATTTCCAATACGTTCAAACCACACTATAGGTGGAGTCGGAAGGTATATCCGATTACATCACACATGTACAAACTGTGGTGAATCCACTCAAGAGCAAGGGTGAACCCCTAAAGGAGCCGTAGGTTGTGGAGCTAATTTTGTGGTCACTAACCAAGAATTTCGAGAATGTCGTGTGCGCCATCGAGGAGTCGAAGGATCTAGAAGATCATCTGTTGATGATCTTCTGTTTAAGGTTGCATAAAGATTTCTTTAACCTAAATATTTTGTTAATCTCTATTCTTCAAGTTTCCCATTCAGAAAAAGTTGATAAAGAGGTTAATATGCATTGACAACCATAGATAATAGAACTTTAATGGAGTTACTTTTAGCGACAAGGACAAAGGATTCTTGATAATCAAATCCATAAACAGAAACTTAAGATCAAAAGGCAGATAATACAAACAATAGTAGGCATGATACTTCCACCAAATAAAGAAAGAAAAACGAATTTAATAGAAAATCAACAGACATGGCCTACAAAACAAAATGAAATGAAAATATTCTTACGTACTCTTAGACACAAAGTCATGCCACGAATATCTTAGATCTTTCATGTTCACAATAAGCCTGGTAGGTTTAACAAGAGGCTTGATCTGCAAGAGACGAGTTAAGTCTTCAGTTTCCATGCCTAGAGATAGATATCATTGCATAAACACCATAATTAACCTGAAGAAAATAGGCAAATGCGAATTTTCCACCCAGAATGATTACCCACAAGAGCATGTACCTGCAAAATGAGATTGAGAATTTCTACATTCACATAAACAAAACTTAGTTACTCCATACTATTGAGCACTTAAGAAGGCAACAACCTAAACAAGAAATTAACTGGGGGAAGAGGAGGGAGGTACATGGAAAAATTTACAAGGAACACCAGTGGATCAGATCAAAAAATTTCAGAAACTTACTTGATAAAATCAGTGGTCCTCTCATACATCCCACGTCCAACATAGTACCGTTCCTAATAAATCAAATTTCAGAAGCAAAAGACAGTACAGATTCAACAAAATAACGTGCATCAACTGAAATTGAGGAGGCCACATTGCACAAGCAGGAAAGAACAAAAAAAAAGCAAGCACTAGAAGGTGAAACCTGTCGCATCCACTTGAAAAAGCGAACAAGAGGCCACCGATCACATTGATTTGTTAGAAGATGGAAAGCAGGTATACGCATCAGAATACTGAGGAAAAGCTGCACACCACCGTATATTCCAATCACGATTACATATAGTCTAAACATCACCCTTTCTGCATTTGGGTTACTACCCTCCTGAAGAGCTTTCCTGTAAGAGAATAGATAAAAATAATACTAAACATCTTGTGGAGATAAAAATGATAACAGGGACAAAAAAGCCAGAAATACATACACATAAAGAAACGTTATCGAAGCAGAAGCAATACTGAACCAAAGGAAACGAAGAAAAATTCGAGAAATAGCAAGGCGCCTTGAAGTAGAGTATGCCCCATACATCATTAGGATGTCTAGAACACCTGGATAGAAGTCCATGTAGAGCAATAGAAATTTTTAGAAGAACAAAGATAATTCTTTCATGCTACTGCACACAAGATAAGAAAACAAATCAGCATCTAATACTTTCAGTAGAAATGACTAGAATAGCACATACTCTCAATAAACTTCATAACGACAAACGTGGGACCAAGACTCAGAACTTCCAGCAGGGTCTTCATATTAAAGTTTCCATTGTTAAATGCAACTATGGTCAAAGCCTGTGAGCATAATAATGTGATAAAGATAATTAAATAAATGAAAATGCAGAAATTCTAATCCAACTCAGTAACACCTCATGGTCTCAACTAGCATACACAACAGGAAACAGCATTAAGAAAAATATATGTATCGAGGGTACCATCCTAACGAGGTATCTGGTTGCTCTTCCTTTTTTCTTCATAACTTTTTCTTAACGCTAACAATTGGTTTGTTTCAAGCAGGAGCTCTAAACCAGCAGTTTGGTGTATTTCTTCACTGATTCTTTTTTTTTTTTTTTTTTTTTTTTTTTTTTTTTTTTTTTTTTTTTTTTTTTTTTTTTTTTTTTTTTTGAGTTGTGTTCATTCATGATGGGAATCACCATTTTCTTTTAACACGTCTTTAAATTTTATTTAATTTATCAAACCAACTTTTACTAAGAAGAATGAAAGTCAGTGGGGCAATAAAAGAACAGTGACACATAACACCAAAAGGAGTCAATTTTACAAAATCGGAGTCTAATCATTCACAATGAAAAATAAAGAAAAATAGAAACAGCCCTATTACAAAGTCCAAATGGGAGGTAGTGAAGCTAACGGTGATTTGAGCTGCTTTCAACAAAACCTCAACACACCCGTGTTCTCCTCAAGCCACAACCCAAAAGAATCCCAAAGAAAGCAACCTTCCATAAGAGCTTCACTTTAACACAAAAAAGGGGGAAATAAAGAGAGACCTTTTTTTAATCATGGCCTCTTCAGTCCCTCTGAAGAATCCAAGACAACCCAAAAGAAAGGTCCGAATTCAGACTTTTGGTCATTTAGATGACTACCTTCCACTATCCATCTTCTAAGTCACTCTTTGGATTCAAAAAGAAGATAACTATAATATATAGTGGCAAGCATAGGACATCTCCACTTTCATTTCTTTATAACTGGAAATTCACTTTCAACCAGGCTTTAGGGATATCTGAGGTTTGTCCCACTGGAAACTATTTTCGAAACAACACTCATTGCCTTTTTAATGGTGGAGCAAAAAACAATATGGCGTCCTTCTCTTAAACTACTTTACAAAACTACTGTTCTACATTTTTTTCTTCTTGTTTTTGGCATTTGAAACAATTCTTCATTTTTTTTAAGCCAAGAATTCTTCATTTGAAACAAAACTACTGTTCTATTTAAGCCAAGAATTGTTTCAACAAAAACAGGAGATTCTTCATTTTTTTTAAGCCAAGCCGCTTTCTTCCTTTTATTTTCCTCGTTTTTTTTAACTGGAGAAAAAGTTTTTTAAAAGAGGGAGGGAAATTAATGTACTAAGCTAGTCTAATTTTTTATTGTTTAATTCTTCCTTTTTCTACTTTAATGTTAAATCCTCTATAAAATAGTGGGTTAGTCTCTTTTATGGATCACTCTGAATCATAATAAAATCCTTTGAATTTAATTTCTAGGAGAATGTCATTTAGGCTAACACCACAAACAAAAACAAAAAAAAAGTTTACAGGACTACGGATAAAAAAGAGAGCAATTTAAAACGCCATATACCTGGAACATCATAACCAAAAATATCCATAAACGATGGAAACTATGATAAAGATGAAGAAAAGTCCGGTGCTCAACAAATGAAGTTTTCCCTTGATGACGACTTCTACCAAGCATATTCTGAAAAATGAAAATAGGAAAATGAAAATTTATTATGAGCACATTACAACAAAAATATTCAAGTACTTCATATTTCATTGCTAATGTGCCATACTGAAACCATAATACCCAATACCATGTGGTTTTCCCCAATATATAATTCAATCAGGAAACCAAACATTCATTATGGACACAATAAATTATCCATGTAAATGATAAATATCCACACAGAACAAAAAATTAAGAAACTAATTGTCAATTATGGAAGAATAAAAGTGAAAGCATGAACGGGAAAGTATTCTTTTCCTAACAAGTACCATTTGTTAATCAGAATAACAAGTACCTTATGGAAGAGTAGGGTGAAAAGTGAATGGGAGAACAACCAAAGAGGGAGGTCTGTGACATAAAAATACAGGTTGAGGTATCAATTGAGAGGAAGCAAGGTCTAGAGAGGAAATCTTCATAGTCGCATAAAATAGGACTATGAGAAGTGGAGTGCTCAATCTGAGTAATCAAAAGGGTTTTATTATAATTGATGATAATGGTCTTCCGGTTGGGGAGGGGTTAACCCAAATGGGTAAGTGATGGGGAAGAGAGGCTTTGGCTGGGATGGAAGGCTAACACAAAAGGGGTAGGATTGGATTAGTACGATTATTAAAAGACAAGGCAGGTTCAGGTACAATGTTGGGAGGTGCATACAAAAGCTGCATAAAAGTTGGCGTCAAGAGGAAGGGGGTTGCATGTTTAGATAGGGAATGGAAAGGCAAAGGTTAAACATGCTTTGGGAAGTAAGACTTCTGATGGGTCGATGCTTGAGCAGCTAGATGGTATAACTACTGCTTTTGGTAAGCGTGTGGGTCAACACTCAGAAAGAAGGCAGACACGCCTGTGCACTCTGCATTTTTCCACTCACCATTGTCATCTGAGGCTTACAGGAATGCATTCTGGCCAAATAACCAATGAAATATTCCTCCACAGAGAAAGGAATATCTCCCTATGAAATAGTTTATACTAAAATTTCCCTCATGAAAATTGACTGGACTAAACTCCAAAATTTAGCAAATTTGGAAATGTAAATTTTTATTACTGCACATAGGAGGTGAATTTAGTTTAATTTAACTAACTGTTCGGTACTTTCAAACAATACCAATAATCATAATCTTCTACAGTTTCATCTCTAAAGACCAGGCCTAAAAGCCACAAAAAATCCAAATTATGGCAAAGGGCGAGGGTAAGCAAGCCCAAAGTAGCCCACTCAAACGAGCCACCAATGTATTGATGTTTTTCTAAGGTTGTTATAGTACTAAACTGTACATGCCCACAGAAACCACCGGAAAAATTGCACATAGTAATCCACGGATTCTTCATGTTCAAGCATGTAACAGATTCAAAACCCGGAAAACCACCTGCTAAAGCAGACTTCTCACTACCAAATGTTTAAGAGATCAATAATTTAATGTATGGAAGATTACAGAACAGAAAATATTGTCTTCACTCAAACCAGTCAGTACAACAAATAGTATAGAAATAACTCAGTACAAATGAGTTTTTTAGAAAAGAAAAAGAAAGATAATCTTTTGACAAAATTAAACAAAGCATACAGACAACCTTTGACTTTGGTGTTGGCCTTTGGAAAAAAGATCTGCCTTTATGCCATGGCCAACTGAGTTCAAAGCATCGAAGCGACCTGATAAAAAAAATGAGAAGCATTCCGAAATTTCATCAGTAAGAATTGTTCATGACAATCAAACATACAGAATTTTGCAACTAACCAGAAATACTCGTTAAAATCATCATAGTTTCTCCATGAAGAATGTGGTGCACGCCCATTGTTATTGTTTTCAGCTTCCTGATTTTTTTTTTTTAACAAGAAACAGTATTTCATTGACATGAGAGAAGGAAGGAAAAATTTTAAGGATATAAGTTCACAGCGGGAATGAAAGAGGACAAGACGAGAAGAAAAAAACTACAAGAGGATAAAACAAGGAAAAACAACTAGCACAGCAAAACAAATCTGCAATAGAGAACCCCTACTCCGGCTAAAAAATGCAGAAACTTCTTCTGAAGAAAAGTACAAAAAAGACGCAACAAAATCTGAGAAAGCAGATTCAAAAAAATGAAGCCAAGGAAAGATATTTCGCAAGGAACACCTCTTGCATTGATAGAATTATTAGACTAATGCAAGCCCTTAGAAACCTTCAAAACCCTCTAGAAATGCCAAGTAAGAATCCTCTATGAGAATCTCTTAAGAAACCATCAAAAAGAAAATAAAATCTCCAGCAATACTCTCCGGTACACCCTGAATCATTTTTAAAAAGAAAACCAAGGACACAATTCAATTTCAACCATAATCAATTGTTAGTCAAGCAAAACTACTTATTCTGAAAACAAAATTGGACCAAAATAACTTAAAAGACCAATGCTTTGAAGCTTCCCATAACCTCTAAAAAGTCATATTCACAGAGAACTAAACGGAAAGAACTGAACTTTTATATGAGCTGAATGACATGAAATTTCACACATCTGAAGACTGCAAATCTTTGTAAGAGATGAAACTTTTTTAGGATTCAAGAGGATGTACTCTATTGGAAAATCTTCGCCGACCCGGTCATCCATAAACTTTGAAGAAGGTACATCTTTTCCGAAACAACGAGAGCCAACAATTGTGTAAGAACATCATTTTCACAATGGATTTCGTGATTCATTTTTAATTCCTCACTACACTCATTGATGATTCAGCATCAGATTCAGATTCAATAAATGGTGAAGAAGATGATGGAACATCTGAGAACCTGGAGGAAAGCTGCATATCTTTTTCCATAATTAAGTTCGAATCTAGAATGGAGAATGACGAATGAACAAAATTATGAGAGGGCTGACTGGATCAGAGAAACCAAAAGGTGTAGGCAAGCATCTCCCATAAAATCTGGATTAGCCTCTATAATTTCTAAACTTGTTTTTTCAAGACCAATCTTATCCGATCCTAAAAAACATATTTAGTTACCAAAGAGAACGAGTTGTTACATTTAATGAGACAATAGAATTTGATGAATTTGGAAATGGCCAGACTAGTTTTTTCTTGTGTACAATTTTGAATATGTGACTAGTTTGGTCTTTTAATAACCTTAATCGTTGGGTGTTCACATCAATTATTTAAATCCAAATAACTTCCATAAAAAATTTGGTCCAATAAAACACGAAGAAATAACACCTTTTGAAAATGGCAGTTAGTAATGCTTTGTGTTGGGATGGTCTAATGCAACATTATCACCAAATCAGAGATCAAATTTTCAAGTAAGCCTTCCTAGAATTCAATTTTTGTTGGGATGGATTCACAAGTATTTTTCTCTCTGTTTAAACAACGGCTGAAAAATCAAGGAGATTAATCATTTGAAAGGAAATGCTTACCAGACGACCCCCCTATTACTTCAAAGAAAGACCATTCCCAATATGGCAAAGGTAAATTCATTAAAGAGATTCATTCTCTTTAGCTTCTTAAAAACTCAAAGTGGGAGGAAGAACATCATTTTGGACAGATCCATGGATTGAAAACACCACGCTAGCTCTGCGATATCCACTTTTGTACAGGCTCTCTCATAACCAAAAAAAAAAAAAAAACACGATCCAACAAACATGGAATGTCATCAACAAATTCTTGGACTTGAAGTTTGGTAAGAATTTAAAGGATAATGAATTAAGCCTTGACCTTGCACAACTCGTATTGGTCAAACGAAACAGACTAGACTTGGCTCCCCAGCACTGAGGGAGTCTTCTCTACAAAATCTGTGATAATGGACGTGGGGTAAAAAGTAGAAGCAATAGATCCCACGCTAGCAAAGATAGTATGGAAAGGACATCACGCTAAAAAGGTGAATTTCTTTCTTTGGGAAATAGTGCATAAATGAAACATATTCCCAAAAAACTATCATCAATCTTTATCCAAGCCTTGTCATTCAATATTACATTTTCAACTCATCACTACCATTGAACCAAAAAAATGCAAACCAATTGACTTCCATAATGAAATCTTGATAAGAAAAACCTTCAAGAATATCACAATCTAGGATAGCTAATGGGTGGAAGGCTAAAAAGAGAAGGTAGACAACGACAAGGGGTACGAAGGTTCTAGTCGATGACAAGGTGGTGGAAGAAAGAGAAAGAATAGAAAGGGGTACACTAACAAACGTAGAGAGGATGACAGAACAGTCATGGAGTGGGCAAGGAACAATGGATGAAAAAGACACCAAGGGCATAAATCAGGGCAGAGGGGGCTGAGGTTGGAGGTTAGAGCGGGGGAGAGCGATTAAGGTTTAGGAAATGAAATGGAGGTGGTGCAAATAGGGTTTAGAAAAAGGACAGGAGGCAGCGTGAGAACAGATGTGGTAGGTGCAATGATCAAAACTATCGGAGAGCAGCATAGGAGTGCGGCAAAGCCCACAGTATGTGGTGTGGCATGGAAGTGGGAGGCTAGGGTTGAGGTTTGAGATACATTCACTTGTACCCATAGAGACACATTCACTTGTACTCTTTAACAAGAATGGAAAAATAAATCCTACTCTTTCTTTAAAAGCTTTAGGTGAGACAAGAATGTAAATGTTAAAATAAATCCTACTCTTTCTTTAAAAGCTTTAGGTGAGACAAGAAACATACCGCAGCCATGACCTCATAAAGAGGAAAGATAACTTGATCAAGGAAAGAAACACCATCTTTAGACTCGCAACTCTTGGCTGGCTGCGCAATCCCATGCCTCAACATCTCATCCATTTCCCGGACCATCTGCATAGAAATTAAGGGTCTAAGGGTAAAATTATGAAGCTCATGGGAAAAGACTGAAAAAAAATTACAAAACCACGATTAGGAAGAAAGTGGAGAGAGCATACTTTTTCCCTCACTGGATTACTTACACTTCTAAATAAAAAATTGGCAGCAAGTTTAAAAGATTATATGTGACGTTCTCTTCCAAATCAATTTTTATGATTTTATATTTCCTTGTAAAGTTTGTACCTTATAAGTAATAGTCTATTTTCATTGCTTCTATAAAAAGTTTTGTTTCTTGTTCAAAATTAAATTTATGGGTCAAGTTGGTTTCACAATGGACTAAAAACAGGTTTGGATGGTATTGAACTACTATGAATATATCAAAATTTATTCAATAATTTCATCAATATTAATTACTTTTAAGCAGAGAATATATATAATAATTGGTTACCTTTTTTTACAATAGATGAAACTAATTAAGAAAATGAAAAGAGACTAATGCTTAAAAGACAAACCTCTACGAGGGAGTTATTGTTCTTAATTAATGTACAATAAGTAATGAATGTCAAAGGACTAACATTTTCACTATGTTTTCCATAAAGTTTTGGATGAGTAACCTATAAGCAAAACCAACCCAACCAAATATTTTACAGTTTGATTGGCTTTGGACAAGGTTGTATGGGTGAGAATTTTTTATCCCAAAAAATTAGATTAGATTCAAAAAGTATCACATCCAAATCAAACCCCCCATGAACATAATTAGTAATTGAAGCCCTTGCAAGAAAATAAATGCTGAACATAATTTTCTTTCAAGCCTTATGTTGGATCAACTTAAAGATCCCAAAAAAATGAAAAAAAGAAAAAATAAAGGTTGACATAGTCGAATATAATTACAAATGAAGTCCAGAGTTACGTACATGGTGAAATATGTAGCATAAGCATTCTGGAAGGAATCTGACGTTGGCTGCTTCGCCCCATATAAGAAAGTATAAGGAAATAAACAATAGCTTCTTTTCCTTGCTAACATCAGACAAGCTGTAAAACAATAGAACACTTTCAATAATTGTAGTCCTCCAAATAAAATTTTCTTCTATGAGATATCAAATTCATAAGTCCATGTTGAAAAATGAAAATATACGGTGAAACTAAATTCCATACAGAAAATAAAAGGAATAAGTTGGAAAAACCAAACCTGCTCCAAACAGGTTGAATGCATAAATATTCACACCATTTAGCGTAGTTTTCCAGAGACTTCTTAAATACACCCTCCACAGCAGCTTCATCCAATTTCTATAGCAACACAGAAAAACATCCTCAAATGAGAGCTCTAGCATATACAAGTACATTTCATATTTATGCTACAGTAATTAATTGTTGAGGTTAATAGTTCAAGCTCCAAGGCTTCGAGCACAAAGCTTGGGGTGCTTATTGATTTGTGCAGTGAAAAGACTTTTTTTTTTTTTTTTTTTGGGGNGGGGGGGGGGGGGGGGGGGGGTTAGAAAGAAGGGAAAGATTTGAAAGATTGCTTGGTGTAAAGCCTGTATCTTTGATAAAATCTTCGATAGCTATAATTCTTTTCTTATCAATGTCAAATGGAAGAACTTTTTGTAGTAAAGATCTTTTATATTTCTTACTCAAACCTCTAACACTGACATCCAACATGATTTTGATGAACATCCGATGGGATACAATCTAGTGAATCAAGCACTCACTATTGTAACTAATGAGTTAAGATCTAATCCTTAACATATGGTTGATGAGAGTGTTTTAACGCTCAACTAAAATCATTGTTTTGTGTGTTTGGAATAAAACTCAAAGTGCTTAAGATGATAAACATGTAGGGAGGTGAAGGTTGTTTGTCTAATATTGACTGGGCTTGATCAACTACTGTCATTTAACAGTAAAGATCTACCGGGCTTGTACTATAGTGTGGTAAATCAATGGTCAAACTTAGCCATTCCCTACCACAAGGTGGTACAACTTGCCACCAACTCATGTACAAGTGCGCCCACATTGCATCCTCTTGGTCGCATTTGCACATCATGCCAGTACTATAAGAATGAGTTAAGAAGCCTTTTATTTTGAAGGACAGCAACAGCATGGCAAGCACACAGGTGACAGCCAGTGTGGATGGAACACATCAATCGTCAAAGACTCATAGAGAGGTGTGGTGAGTCAATCTACGTCGATCACTTGCCCCATTCCCTTATTTCTATCTAATCCATTAACGTACTTGCATCACGATCTCTTCATCTAATGTTTGCCTCTTTGGTCGTGATATTTCTTCTTCCTCCCTTTTTTGGCTGATAAACTCCAACATTCTCTTGCTACAACTTGAAAATAAAACAACTGGTCACCAATTTGTGTCAGAATCTTCTCCACTCCTCAAAATGGCATCAACTGATATCCATTTTCCCCCAAGAAATGTTTCGTTGAGTTAAAATGTAAAATGTTCCTACTCTTAAAAACCTTGATGCCGAGATAGCGAGCAGTCTACTTAGAGAATAAACCAACAGAATGAAAACAAAGGGAGACGAAGTGTCACCTTGTTGAAGGAAGTTCATGGACAGAGAATTTGGGCCTTTACAATCAACCACTAGGTTGAAAACAAAGGCAGACAATGAGTCACCTTGTTGAAGACTACTCGATGCCGAGGTTTTTTCCCTATCCTTTCCATTAGTAATGATGTGGATGGTAAACAACCTCAGATCCAAGCTGATAGATTGTCTAGAATGGGGTCATGGATTCCAACCAAATATCAAATAAATAAAACCCTCCACAGGAATTAAAATACACATTATTGGCGAAGCTAACAGCAACAAGAGTTGACTGTTTGTTGAATATTTGTGAGATGAACCCAATATCATTTTTTGATTTGATGCATACCTCCATCAAATAAATCCTTGAGAGGATTTTATTAGCAATCTCTAAATACCCTCCAAATGGTTGCCAATCCTTTGAAAAGTCCCTATACTCATTCGTAAATTACAAACCTTAATACATCCCCTTGGAAAGGAACTTCTGAATCACAATAGTAAGCCTATAAGCTCCCAGATTCAAACATAAGCGCATACCCATTGTATACCATTTCCTCATGTAGCTTAAAATTCGAGCTCATACAAAGTCCTTTGCTAGATCCCAAACAAAGGATAGAACAACCTAAACAAAACTAAAATGATACAGAAATAAAAAAGACAAAGAACTACACGATAAACCAACTAATTCAAGGTATTGGGTCATTCCTCTCTTGAGATCACTCAAGCCATAATCCAACTAAACAATTGCCTACCCTTCTCCTTTCTCATTCCCTTTATTTAACAAACTACCATAACAACTTCTCTGCCAATTACTAACATACCCGTTTTATAAGAAACTTTCTCAATAAGAATAAGCAAAAGGGCCACAGGGTAAGGGCTGGGGTATGAGAGAGCCCCCACACAACTAAACTACTTACACATAGCTTTCCAATAGATACGACTCAAAGGAAGTGGAGAAGTTATCCAAGAATTGATTATAACCATGGCACCACCCGGATGCATTGAGTTGTACAAAATCCAAAAAGGAACCAAAAGGAAACAAACTTATCTTCTCAAATTCTTCTGTTTCATTCCAGCCGCAAACTTCATAACACCGCTCTAGGGGCAAACTTCCACAAAATTCTGGCTTTACTTTTCAACTTGTGGCCCCTCAAAAACTCCTACAACTGGCCATCAACCCTATCGGGAGACAAATCCACAACTCAAAAATACACACGAGTTCCCAGCAACAATCAGCAAAAGGACCCTGCAGGAAAATGTGATCCATAAACTCCTCACTACTTAAACATTGTGGGCAAATAAAAGGGCAAAAGGAGAGATTTAGACTCTTTTGAAGTCTCTCATGAGTATTCAAACTTCTGTGAGCCAACGACCATAAAAAAATTTCACTTTCTTAGAAATTTCAAAATCCTGAACGAGCTTTGTCATAGAGCATTTAACATTGGTCTAGAAGCCGCCAAATGAAAGAAAAAACCCGAGGGAACCAACAATCATCTAACCTTGTCTGCAACATTGCCCAAATGAAACTCCAATTTCTTTACCAACCAAACTTACTGTTGGAACGCCCTGTCAAAAATAACTCTCCTAATGTCATTCATGATCCTATTTTAATAGAACTCATATCATCTTCTAGAGCAAGCATGGCTTAGTTAGCTTGAAAGGGCTCAACAAACAAAAGTCACTAACATGTAGTAGTAATTTCTTCAAAATCTCATAATGTCATCGTGGAAGTGTTTTTATGAATAATAACCGTGCATTCCAAATCAATGGTGGCTACGACTAGTCAAAGGGAGCGCTGGTGAGAAGGTTTATCTTTCTCATCTTTAAGGCTCCTTTTCAATGCTTCTTTGTAGGAAGTACTTTCACTAGTGCTAGACTTTTAGTGGTTGAGCCGTTTTTAACAACGACAACTTTCCCAAGCCTGGAGATTTCAACACAACGTCTTTTTTTGTTGGAAATCTTCTCAAGCCTGACTTTTAGTGGTTGAGCCATTTTTATCAAGGGAAGTAAAAAGAGTCCAGGCTCTACAACTTTCTCAAGCCTGCCGATTTCAACACAATGTCCTTTCTTTGTTGAAAATCTTCTCAAGACTCAACCCTTAATGTATATTTGTAAGTATAGAACACCACAAGAGAAACTCTTGAGGCCAGAAGCTCTCCTTCCTAGAACAAAATCAAGGCAAAAACCCCCAACAAACAAAAAACTATACCTTGCCCCAAAAGAGTACTATCAAATCCCTTCTATTAGAAAAATTGGGCCACACATGCTGCTCTCACTAAACTAACTATATATTTCTTTTGTGCCCCCATCCTCTTTGCATACGTGAAATGTATGAACGGCCTCATATCTCTGGCAATACAATATGTGCAAAATAATTGAGAAGTGTAGAAGTATATGAACACATATTTCATTAAATATGTTATTGTCCTGCACACGTCATAATTTTCTACTAGTGGATGCGCATCCATGATACAACCATAACAAGCCTTCTCAACTCGAATATTCTTTGAATTCAAAGTTTAATTTTATATCAAAAGTAGAAAAGTGACTGATGAAAGCAACAATTCAAGACGAAAGGAATGTGAAGTTCTTATTTCTCATTGAAGACCTCATTCATCAAGCTTTAGCATTGACAAAGCAAAAATCAACAACAAAGTAGATATCAAGTACCCAATCAACATATAATTAGCCAACTACAACAATTATTTTAGGATATAAATAATCTCACATAAAATGATCTCATTGAAAGGTAATGGCTCAAATCACCAACCAAGGCAAACGCAAACAGCTCCAATTGTTAATGATTAAAAGTAAACAGAACTGTCCATCAATGTTCAATGATGAGAATAAAGGACATACTGGTTCATTTTCTTCAGGAATACGAAGGCGAGACTGTTCGTTGGCAAGTAGGTGCACTACATGCTCACGCTGGTTGGACACATTGTCTTTCTGAAGGCCATCAAAATTCAACATGAGACAATATAAATTGAAAATCTTAAAGAAATGACCAAGCAATCCAATTTCAATGTTGGACAAATTAAATTAAAAATCTAAAAAAAAACTATGTAACTAAAAAAGACCAATAGACCAAAACAGGGTAAATAAACATCAACCATCATTATAATTGCAATTGTAAACAATATTAGAATGTGCCAAAGTCAGCATAACTCAACAGCAATTGGCATCTACTCTTTCCTTAAGGTTGGAGATTCAAATCTTCATACCCCATTTGTTGTGTACTAAAAAAATAATATTAGATTCCTTGCTGCTTTAAAAAAATATTCCTTGCAAATAAACACAAATTGTAGACAAAGAATGTTGACCTTATGATAAAATCAAAATGATTTTTTTTCTTTAAAAAAAAAAAAGCTGTCGCATTAGTTAGGTAAAGAAAAACTCCAACTAAAAGATCAAAAGGAACTACAAATAATGAAGTATAGCTACAGAGAAACAGAAAGCCAAATCGAAGGTGAGCTTTGGAATTTAGCCATTATTTTTTACAAGAAACCAAAAGGTGGCGCATGCAGAAAAAAGAAAAAAAAAAAAAAAAGAGAACAGCCCAAAGAACAAAGCTTAACAACAAGTAAAAGGGAAAACAAAACTATAAAAGAAAATTACAAGAGCTCAAAAAACAGAAACTGAGAATCAAAGTTCAAAGGCCACACTGTGGGCCAAAAATATAAAAGAAATGGTATTTCAAAAAATGAGCTCAAAGAAGAATCTTATATTACAACATCCGCAAAACAGATGAATTAGTACCATAAGATTTCAAACTTAGATCAGTAATCCTTAGGAGCCATTAAGGTGTATTTTTAAAAAAATTATAAAAATATTATGCAAATTAATCTTTTAAAACAGAAAAATATCTTTTGTTCATAGTGTTCGTTTTATGTTTACTTCTTCTATATAGTGATCTAAAAACATAACAAATCTATAGATGAGAAAACAAAGTACCTACTAAATGAGTTTCTTGCAAGAAGAAGAAAGAGAAACTTTTAAACCCGATTCCCAATTAGAACCTTATAAAACAAAACAAAAACCCTCAGGAGAACACTTAAACTTATTTTAAAACCCTGATCAACACATAAGGTGAGGAATGAAAACTAGAATCACGTGTTGATAGTCAAATCCATTAATATAACTCTTAAATAATCGCAAATACATATATTACAAGTATTAAAACATAGAAACCCAGTAACAAACTATACAAACAGGGGACGGGATTGAGTTGTATGCAACCACCAAATAGAAGTCCAAACCTGAAATCCAAAAATGAAGTGTAGAAAGTCAAATATATCAGGACTCCTCGTCTCCGGAAAAGAAAATTCTGCAGGCAACTTTGGAAGGCCACTGAAATATTTTAAAGCTGACACTGCTGCTTGCACCTAAACATAAAGTTCAGTTTCAAGGTAAATAACTGAAGAAATGGATAAACTTTCACATTCTAAACAAGAAAATTGTAATCCAAAAGACCTCAGCCATGGACCCAATAGCATTTGTCGTAGAAGGAGCATCTAATGGAATAATATTATAAGCAATTAAGTCTTCTGTCATTGCAGCATCCGATTCCATGAGTCTTTTCATCTGCAAGAAAAGGAAATCATGTATAAGAAGAGACGCAAAACTCAGAATTTATTTTTTCAAACAAAGACAACAAATAACTTCATTACAGAAAATGTTACGGCAATTCCACTTTGTTCAAAATCCCTATTTCTCGATAATGCATCTACAAACAAACAGCCCATGTCAAATGCCTCAACTGAGCCAATTTAAAGCATCAACCCTTTAGTTTTTCCTTATTTTTCTAGTCATCCACTATTTCACTGTCAATTGTCTAACTTTTATCATATAACCAGGAGTTTTTCAACAAAATCGGCCTTCCTTAGTTAAGAATTACCATAGAAGACTGATTGATATAAACTGATCACTTGTTCATACATTGCCCCTTTTCTTATAAGATCAGCTGGACCTTCATGTAATAAGGTAGGCTTCAGCTGGACCTTCAAAGTTCTAAAATAAGGGTTTTGATTGCATTGGACCAAATAAGGGAGGACTTCAAAGACAAAGAATGCCCTATGAGAAGCTGAAGTACATTTTCTATCAAAATTGACAAAAACACCCCATGCACCTTGAACAGGGAGAATAAATTAAACCAACAACGCAAAGACGAGCAGCCGAAAAGAAGATGGTTAAGATAATCCACATCTTTAAAACAAAGTAGACACACAAATGGTATAAGAGAAAAGAAAGGAAAATTCCTCTGTGAAAGCTCTGAAGTATTTAAGGCTTCCATTAAGAACAATTCAAAGAAGAATATCAACTTTCTCAAAGCTCTTAGTATTCCAAGTTTTCTAAATGTTAAAAATGTTGGGCCTATTTCCATCTCCCAAATGCTGTGGATAGTTAGTAGTCGGAAGCTTTGTTGGGAAATAGGAGGGAAAGCTAAGATCCTTTAGTTCGCTGCCGTGTGAACTACCCCTTGGTTAATTTGAAAAAAGAGTGATCTTTGAGTCTTTGAGGATAACAAGTCAACAAACTTTTTATGATTCGGCTCGAGTGCAAACAGACGATTCATTTTGCAATTAGACTTTTTATGATTCATATTCAGTAACATCCATTTGTCCAATTTTGGCTAATATCGAAGGCCATGGGTCAGTTAAGTTATTTGTTTAGCCCCAAATTGCATGTAATAAGGTAGGCTTCATGCATGGAGGGCCTTTCCACGAAGAAGTTATTGCAAGTTCTTTTGCAAGAAGAGCATTTACTGGATGCTTCGCAAAACAAGAGCTAGTGGTTGAGGAGCTAGTAGTGATGAGAGGAGGTTTTAAATTTTCATGAACCATTTATGTTCAAGCCCCGATTGACAGCAGCTAGCTATAGTTTGGCACTGTTTCATTCTTCGGAAGAAATTTTGTGCCTCCTCATAAGGAATAGAATATTCCCCCTTTGCCCTCTTTGAGTATTGAAGAGAACAGACTTCTTCTTGAAGTTCCCTTCCCAAGCCTTACGTTAGTGTTCTTTTTCGGATTTGTGTTTAATTTAGGATATGTTCTTTGTCTGTTTTATTTATGCTTCTCTCCTGGTGAAGTTTGTATCCTTTGAACATTAATCTCTTGTTATCTATTCAATTAAAACTTTTGTTTCTTGTTAAAAAAAAAATCATCCACTGGGCATTCAAATAGTCAGTCTTCTATCATGAATGTATTGGATGACTTTGATAATGAAGTCCTCTACCATGAATATGTTGGTTGACTTTGATAATGAATCAGGAGTTAAAATAGAGTCTTGAATTAGTTTTTTTAATCAAGAAACAAAACTTTTCATTATTGTATAAAAAGAGACTAGTGTTCAAAGGATACAATCTCCACGAGGAAGAGAACAAAAATTAAAAAATATCACAAAGAACATCTCCCAAATTAAACATAACTCCTGAAAAACACAAGCAAAAAAGGCCTATTCTGTTCGATACTCAAAATGCAAAGAGGCATTATTCTTCTCTCCACGAGGGGTACAAAATTTTCTTCCAAAGAGGAATTAATATATGCTAACTTACAACCAACTACTAATAATACTTAAGTTAGGAATTAATATATGCTAACTTCATGTATTTTTAAAAGCTCCCCAACCACAAGCTCATCTTGCAAAGCATCTTTTAAATGCTTTAAAACCACAAGCTATTCTTGCAAAGCATCTTTTAAATGTCAGACATGCAAAGAACTTGCAATTACTTCGGTGTGGAAAAGTCCTTCGTGCATAAAACCTAAAATACTAAACATAATTTTAGGCTTAACAAATGATCTGAATGACTCATGGACTTCAATATTATTCTTGAATTAGAAATTCCTCTCCTAACCAATCATTTGCAAAATGAAGATATTATTGAGGATTTGTTTTAAACTTCTTCGTTCCTTATTCAAAGAGGAAAAATTGATTAATGCTTCAGCAAAGAAATATATTTCTGATATGGGGGTTTCAAAAAAGCCCTAATAACAACAATGATCTTTCTTCGGGAAAAAGGAGATTTTCTCCCTTTCTTAAACTTTGTGGTCTTCAAGTTCATGAAATTATTCTACATGAGATGCAAATGTCACGGTAATGGTCTAATTTAGGAGTTCTGGCTATGATCATTCTCTCTTCTTGGTTTCTTAATGATGAGCATTCCGTGGTATTCAAGAAGTTGTACTGTTTGCGCCAAAAGATGCTTATATTAGGTGTCCAATCTTCATCTGTCTGAGTATCTTTTCAATTCAGCCAGCAACTTCACTCTCATTGCCACATGATTTTGAAGATATATTACGACTCTCTCTATCTTTTGGAGTAAGGTGCTATCAGGTCTTCTTGGTTCATCCAGTGGCCCACTATTGGAAGCAATTTTCGTATTCCTAGCAGTTTTTTGGATAAGCATATATATAGCTTAATGGAGAGTAAACTTTTGCTTACTTATTTTAAGGTTTAGCCTATGGGTTTCCTCAAGCCTTCAATGGATGATCTTTTTTCATATTCTGTTAAAGGGGAAGAAAATAGATGTTTTGTTTGTCACTTCTGTTGGTGTGTTTGGAAGCAACATTTTTTTGAGTTTTCTTGTCTCAAGACAGCGGTTTTTAGCACCCTCAACAGTTTACTAGAACTTGTGTTTGAAAAGGCATCAAAGAATCTTTGCAAGCAAGCTTCTTCTTTGGCTAGACCATTTTGAATCGGCTTGATTAAACGCTTCACCTTGATATCTCTATCCTAGCCTTTGTTAGTTTTTCTTTTTTTTCAGGATATTGTATTTAAATTGGGATGATTTTATCGGTGTAATTCTTAGTTTTTGGTTTCACTCCCTAGTGAAGTTTGTATCTTTTGAGCATTAGTTATTTTTTCATTGATTTATTTTATCAATGAAAAGTTTCATTGGTTAAGAAAAGATAGATCATAAGAAAAAATTTACAAATAATGGATATTAAAATACTTTGCACCAACAATTTTGATATATGTATAAGTACAAGATAATTGTAAGGCCAACCTCTTCAGGGATTGCATCACTGAGTTGCTCCAGTACCATTGCTAATACTTTCAGGGTTGCGAATACTTTTTTCCGCTTCAATGTTTTTCGTTCCAACCTTAAAATTAAATGAAAAAAATCATTACCTGTCCATGATTCAAGATGATTAACTACTCACAGGAATAATTTAGGTCATAAGTGAGCCAAGAACCAACGTATACAAAATAAACCAAGAAAGTTATAGGGGTTGTTTAGATATATTTCCTAAAATTAGTTTTTATAGACATCTGTATTCTTTAAAAAAAAAAAGTTGGATAAGAAACAAATAACCATGTATTAAACATCAAACGGAAAATAACCTAAGGAGTATAAGAAAAGCAGAAAATGCTTTTAAATATTAACCAACCAATAATTGATAGGTTGCTTCCCGGCTCTATGTTTGGAAATTAGTGTTAAAGGTTTTATATTGCAACTGTACACTGAAAAGTTTCTTTAACAGAGAGAGAGAGAGAGAGAGAGAGAGAGAAAAGATCTAAGGTTTAGCAGAAGTTGAAAAGGCACATGGGCTCGCTCTTTCCACTCTCCTCCTAAACCTTCCCCTCCAAAGCCCTAGTCCCACCACCGATCAGTAACAGATTGCAGACCAATCCAACCGGCCACCTTCGATCTCTGTTCCCCAGTGGTTCTGTCAGATACATGCCAGTTGTCTCCCTCCCAGTTTTGTCACCCTTTATTTCTGTCTCGCCATTGTCTTCTTTTAACCTTAGCCACCCCTCTTCCCTTTCATTTTTGCTTGACATTGTTCAGCCGTACTCTCCCCTAGTTCTCCTCTTTAAACCCTAGTCACCCCTCCATATCGGTTCCTTCAGTCTTTTTTCGCACACTTTGATCGTTGCTTCCCATCTCTTTTTTCTTTTTTTTTTTCTTTTGTTTCTCTTCCTCCTGTCACCAAGCCCATCCTTCTCCCTCCAACCCTTTATCCTCTGCTGCCTAGCCATTTCTAAGGAGGTGATGAGATATCGTATCCATAACCTTTAGTTTTGCATCTGCTATGAAAATGACATGGGTTTTATCGAAGACAAGAACAAGCTGAAAATTACCCTCTCTATCTCTAATGTGTTTTGGATTAAAAATTTTCTACTTGAACCGTTGCAAAATTCATTGCACACATTTTTCCGTAAGCAAGTCAAGGATATCTCCAAGACTATCCATTCAGCCAAGTTTAGATCTCCACAAAGAAGGAAACTTGAATGTGTAGTACTCGTTAGTGTTGAAATAAAAGATGGAGAAAAAATGATAAGAAATTATATCTTAGAAGTTAAAAAAAAAATCAGGCTCATCTTTCATCTTTACAAATCATGTTAAAGAAGGAGAAATATTGCAGTTGAGCTAGTCAACAATACTCAACTCCTCACAAGTTACGCAGAAGACATGCAAAAAAAAAAAAAAAAAGAGAGAGAGAGAGAGATGCTTCAACATTTTTTGCGAGGAAAGAAAAAGAAGTGGAAATGAACTTCAATTCTATCTTAGTGAGTTTCCAGATTGCTATTCCACAACTCTTGGAAGGGCAGTTAAAATGCACTAGAGGTTACTTTCAACTCAACATTTCTGCTAATCTTTTCATGGCAGATAAGGCATAAAAATTGAGTGTTGATTTTTCTGATTTGCAGTATGATGGGGTGAAGCAAATTGGAAATTTTCAACTGAAACTTGAGAAATGGTCCCAAGAAGAACACACTCATCCAAAGCTTATTGAAGGATACGGTGGCTAGATTTCTTTGAAGAATTTACCTTTATCGTATAAGAAACGTTCTAGTTTTGAACCAATTGTTCAGCATTTTGGAGGTTTGGTCAATATATTTTTTCCAAAGTCTTAATTTCATTGATCGTACATCTCCTAGAATTGAAGTTAGGAAATATATTTGTGGTTTCATTCCACCTGAGTTAGAGGTAACAAATGAAAAGTCCGTTCAAGTTATGATGGATGAAGGTTTTACTTTTCCATCTGAGGATTTTATGCCAAAGATGTAGAGTTGAATCCTGCTCCTTTGCAGGATCAGATGTAGAAGTCGGATGGCCTTTTTCTTCAAGATGACCTTCAGGTTATGCAATACTCAATAGATAATGTTCGGTCTTCTTAGTCGTCTATTCAGGTTCTCATCGTTTCCAAACCTACACTTCATGTCTCTAAGATAAAAAAAATAAACTTACTCAAGACTCCCCTCTCCCTAAAAGCTCAGAGATTAATTCAGAAATTTTAGAAGGAATGTGTTCGGCTTCTCACTTCCTCTCAGAATTTTTGGAAGATTACGTGGATGCTTATTTGGGTGGTTTGGAGTTTAGTGTGGTTGGGCATATTTGAGCTGGTTCTCAGTTAGATCTTTTCTCTCCTTGTCAGAATTTGACTTCCGATCTGGTGTGCATAAATGATTGTTCTCAATTGTCAAATCTCTTCCTTCCTCCATAAATCCCTTTTTCTTGGAGCCCAACATTTTTGGACTTTATTTTGATATTTTTATAGGATAATTATTTAAAACTCTTTGTTGAAGAGGATTTAGTACTATAAGGATTCTTATTTATATACTTATTTATAATCTTTTCTACTTGGTTTGTATCTTTTGAGCATTAGTCTCTTTTCATTAGTTTCATTATTTCAATGAAAGATTTTCGTTTTTGTTTCCAAAAAAAGGTGAAAATGCACAATGCAATAATAAGAGGAAAGAAAAAAAGTTCTAAAAAAAGGAATAAGCTCTTATTGAGCCTCATAAATATTAAACGTCGATCCAAACCATTGAAAATCCAGAACTCTCCAATAAGAATACATAATGCATGGAAGTTAGGTTCCATGCTAGTCCTTGAGAAACTTTTACAGTGACTTGCCTCCACAAATCATTCCATTACAAAGAGAAACAACATTTAATGTCACTAAATTCATTTAATGTCACTAAATTCATTTAATGTCATTAAATTCATTTAATTTCATAAATTGCTTGAGCCATATGAATAAACTGATGTGAACTATTAAATTTTATAAAATTGAAACCTGAACACAGCAATAATCACATCGGGATTATTTATATAAAAAAAATTAATAGAAGACCAGAATGTCTTGTGATATTTGAAAAGTTACAACCAAAAGAATAAAAGTATCCTTTTCAAAGTAACGGTATTATTATAAAATTTAAGAGCCAACATATTATGAATGTAAAGGTTGTGAGATGCTTGAAACATTCGAGAAAGCAAGAGTAACTAATAAAAGTCATCATGAAGGATGAAAAGAGGTAACTACTTTTGTTTATGAACTTACTCTCCAAGGTTACCACTGAAAGCACCAGATTCCCTCAATTTCATTTCATCTTCCCGAAGCTTATCTACATTATTTTTTTCTCGGTATAGCCTGTAGAACTCTTGTAACCGAGTAACATCCTGCCTTCTATCTATGGTTCCACCCTCCCTCTTGGCTAGCTTTTGCTGAAATATATCTCTCAAACAATCAAGAAATAGATATGATCAGGTAAAACAACGAAAGACGCCAAATTAGCTACCAGATAAAAGTCAAAAGTGCAAAGAAGTAGATGGCTCAAATTCTCAAACAATATAAAGTAAGAGCATATTTTTTTTGGGAAAAAATGCTAAAAAAAATATGCTAGGATGGTGACAAGAAATCTAACCCCCACAGATCAACCCAATACTCAAAAAAAAAATACAGAAGCAAAAAAAACTTGAACAAAGTGGCAACAGGAAATGCTACAATGTTGTCTTCTTCAATGATATTCTAGCATGTATACTCGATGAAATGCTAGAATGTGTCCCATAAAAAATACTAAAAAAATAAATAAACAAACAAACGAGAGAAGCAAGTTGAAACCATGAGATGCATTCCTGACCTTTTCTCCCTCTATTCAAATCACTTAATCATCGTTCCATTTTCATATACATTAAAAGGAAAAAAAAAAAAAAAAGATCAAGAATGTACCTTAATGACAGACATCAAACCAGTTTTGAATTGCAAAACACCTCTTCCTTCACTATTCGGATCCAGGTTTTGTGCAAGTGAATATGCATGCTCACATACTACAGGCAAAAAAACAAAAACAAGTTCCAAGTGATTTGGAATGATCTATCAAATGTATAAAATCAATAACAATCTTATATCAAAGGGAATAAAAGAAGCAAGTCTTTATAACTTTTCCATGAAATATTATTTTGCAATGCCGCTTGGATTCATTCCTATGAGAGAATTTCAGTTCAGTTGTACATAATCACTCACTGGAAGTGTTGAAATTCATCATTATCATCATAATTTTATTTCAAATATCTACTTCTTGTGAGAAAAATAACTTACTGACAGGCAAAAAATACAGAACTACAGAAAAGAAATGTCCAATACCTAAAGAACTAAGGAATAATTGCAATTAAAAAAAAAAACCCTACATGGATTAATTTTTCTGAAAGTGTCGATGAAGACTCTACTGTTACATTCCTGAGCGAAGGATTATGATTGATGGGCATATCCAAACCCAATAATTTGATCCAAAAGTCTTTGCCAGTTTGAGAGAACTTGGGAGCGGTTTGTGAGATCTTGGGAGAGGTTTGGTCCACTGCTAGATTCAATATATCTCTCCAAAACTCTCCCTGCTATATTCAATAGCTCTCTCCAGTTGTCAAAATCTCTTTATAATTATCCTTTGCTTCTTATTCTTAATAGTTGGAGACCTTTCTTTTAGTTTTTAGGTTTGTCTCCACTTGTTTTGGGCTAGATTTTTTTTTTTTTTTTCCTCCTCTTTTGTATGCCGGAATATACCCGTTCATTTACTCTATGACAGTGTGCTTTTTCATCCAAAAACAAAAAAAGAAAAATGATTTTGGTTCTCCTCAAAAAGTTTACATAAGCAACAGCAGTTAATTTCAAAAGGAAAAAAACAACTTTCTTGATTACATCTTATTGATTGCTCCAAAATATAGAGCTCAAAAGCATAAGAACAATTTTCATTCCTTCAAGATGGGCACTTTCCACATAGTTTTACTGAAAGTTTGACTTAATAGCTTGACAGCCTGAGAAGGGAAGAAAACAAGGACTTAAAATAATAGTGGTCAAATATTTCAAGAAAAAAACAAGGACTTAACATAAGAGAGGTCAAATATTTCAAGACTTCAGAAAGGTTCCAGTATCACTCCCAAGAGAGAAGGTGAAGCTGTTAAGTTGAAAGAACATAAAATTTTACTGTCATATCCTGATCTGAAAACCTTTTGTGAAAGTCATGAACCAGTAAACATTCTGAAAGTGATGGACCAAAAAAAATATGGGCTCACTCCTAACCTCCTTAACAGTAATCCCTCAATACATAGCCAATTTGAAAGGCCTTTAAAATATAACTTTCAGGGAATCACCTTCAAGCCACACATCCAACCTAAATAGGACGTTGGATCCCCTCTTTAGTGTTCTCTGATATTAGAGTTCCTCAATTTACAAGCTCAGACTGAGAGCTAACAAAGAAGCACAGCAACAAGGCTAAACAGGGGTGGGGATGCATTTCCCATCATCATCCCCACTAGTTTTTTAATCCTCCTCCCCTTCCCATTCCCCGATATGAGGAATTGGGTTCAGACCCTCACATGGAAGCACAGCAACAAGGCTAAACAGGGGCGGGGATACATTTCCCATCATCATCCCCACTGGATGTTTAATCCTCCTCCCCACCCAAGCCCCCAATTTGAGGAATAAGGTTCAGAGTTAAAGACCTTCACATGGAAAAGTTTCTCTCTCATATTTTATTTTAATAAGAGACAACCAAAGCTCATTCAAAAACAGGCTTGTACGAAACGAAGGAATGAGCAATCCCCATTACAAAAAGAAACTCAAATTGGTTGAAATACGCACAAAGTTGCAATTCAAAAAAAAAAAACATTAGCCAGCAAGCACCAAATGGCCATAAAAATGTTCACAAAATCCTAAAAGTTCAATGATATTTTGAAAACTGCAATCCTAATTTCTTCTCCTTCAATGATTAAACTGGATGAATTTTTATTCAGGTAGGATTTATGACATGCAGAATTTATGTTTGCCAATACTAAAAAAAAAAATCAAAAACAAATATTTTATAAATAAAAATTTAAAACAAAGGAACATACATATTCTCGCAACATTGGGATCTTCATCTTGGATTTCATCTGCAGCTCTCAAGATTTCATCAATATCCCTATTGTTTGCAAGTGAAGATGGTACATTTCCAGCAATGCCACTTTCAGGGCGTCCATATGCATCAATGCCAATTCTATCTCTTCTTAAGGCAGCTCGAACTAAGCGTTCCCATAACTCCTCAACTTGTGTCATTCTCTATTTTAGCATAAGAGAGAAATTATTTAAAACGAAAAATAGTAATGATCAACCAGATGGAACCCCTTAATGAATCAAATAAAAGCATACAGTAGACAAACACTTAAGATTAAGACTAATTGTGAAAAGAGGCAAAGATGCAGTCAAGAATTTAATCATGGTTCACCTATGCATGGTACAATTGCTTAAGACAAACAGAAGCGAGAAATCAAAAGGCAATTCTTGACTGCATCTTATAAGAGTAAGCCCCAATGATTAAATAATGTCCCAATAACTTCAATCTTACAAAATCACAATAGATATAACAATTTTTATGCACCATATAAGTCCACTCTAGCTACCAAGCTCAAGGACAAACTTCGTCCTATGGGGAAATTTGGCATTGGTTCAAATGCTCCAGTAGAAGTATTCTGAGCTATCGCGATAATTTTTTCCATTTTCGTTTTGCATAAAAATTAAGCTTGCAGTAAAGTTTGCCACACTCCCAACATGTCCAAATGTCGCTACCCATTCAAAGATTTTTCTATTTCTCCTTAACCACATTCTGAATTGAATAATGTCACTTGCCAGGAATACTCTTTTTGTCAAAGCAGAGCACCTTATTCATCCTTCCTCAAAACTTCGCTTGAAGCCAGACTAACACTAGAAATCTTGAAAACCTCCCCAAAACTTCAAAGACAATTAGCATCTCAGTAAATTTTGTGAGTTCAACAACATTTGAAGGTTGGGAGTTTGAACAATTGACATCATAATCGTACATGCCAATTACCATTGAAATATGCTCACTTTGCTACCATCTCACTAAATAAGAGACACATACCTTCCACCGTACAGTTTTTAAGCACACAATAGCACAAATATTACTGCAATTCACACTTCTTCGACACAGTGTGGTGTCTCAAGCAACAAACAAAACGTCAGAAGATTACCACCAAAGTTCAAACCCAAACCCAAAATAAAAAAAAAAAAACAAAGCAAATTCCAGTTATTACAGAAGCATCCATCAATCCAAAAACTAACACCATGCTATACTGATGCCAACCAGCAAAAGGCCAACTCACCAGCACTTAAAACCCAGAAATAACAAAAACCTAATCTACATTTCCTCCATTTTTCAACCTCTACATAACATTCTCCGCAAACCATCCACGAACCAGCAAAAAAGAACGGAACATACACAAGAACGATGAAAGGGATTCAACGTACCTGATTAAATGGAGCAAAACGCTACAGATAGAGAGACCAGGAGGAGTAAAATTCCGGAAATGGAATTGAGCTTCGAAGGGTTGCTGAAGCTGTGTAGATTCAGAAATGGGAGCGGGAAAGACGGGAGAAAGGCAAAAGGAAAGAAGAAAGAATACAACGGAGTGCGGTGGGAACTGGGAAGTGGAAAAAATAAATCACCGGGTATGACCGGTGACGGGGTTTAGGTCTTTAATTGACGCGTACGCGGAGACGAAAAATCTTAGGACACCGTCACCGGAATTTGCAGGTCACTTTCCTCTCTCTCTCTCTCTCTTTTCCGCCTTGTTAAGCAACGCTGGGTCCACTTTTTCGGGCTGCATCTCAAATTTTCCTTTATAAATAAATATATTTTTGCATTTAAAATACTATACTTTATAAATAAATATATTTACATATAAAATACTATATTATAATGTTTATATTTAAATTTTTTAAAATTATGTAGCATAGTTTATATATTTTTGCTAATTGTTTAATTTGTCATAATAATTTATATTAATTATATTGAAAAATGAAGAGTGTTTATTGGAAAAAAAAATGTTTGAAATTAATTAATATCAATCCATCCAACTTTTATTCATTTACAAAGCGAGGAAAACTCGTAAATAAAGTATTCAAAACGTCCGTATTCTTTCATTCATTCAATGAATTGGCATAAGTAGTGTCTAGACACTTAGAATTTTCACAAATAACATTGTTTAAATCTAAAATTTGTCTTGCTCGGTACTTGAAACTCGAGACGTGCCTTCATCATTATTTATTTGAAGCGTCTTGATATCAATACTGCTACACACGCTACAAATTATTCTCTTATCCTAAGACAAACATTTGTTAAATTTCAGAACCGCTTTAGAGAGTTTTTTTTAGCTTTTTTTTTCTCGTCTACCTTTCAAAGCAATTTATTATATGTTAAAGGTTATCTATCTAGTCAAGATGAACGGCTACATTTTATGTTTCTTATTCAAATTCAATTGTAATTTTAGAGTCCTCGAGAGCCCTCGAACTCGTATGCAATTTCTTTTCAATGTCAGTACTATTTTATTCTCGTTCTTTATCTTATGAATATAGTAATAATTGAACTGACACCTTGGTTGATATTACAAGCATGATTTGTAACTATTGTGAACAAAGTAACAATAAAGTTGATTGATTATCGTGCTATTAATACTCCTTTTTTGCAATATATTTTACATGGTAGACTCTACAAAATATGTTAACCAAATTAAATAGGTTGTAGCTATCTCATTTAATTGATAATTATAGTCATTCATAATGTCAACGTATTAATTAATATGAAACATTATCATAATTAACCTAAGAGAATAAATAATTGTCAATAAAAATAAATATTTTAAATAACTGATTTATTTTATCGTATTATATTAAAAAATGATTGTATTAATTATAAATTTATTTTTGTTATGTATTACACATACTTTGAGGGATAATTCATAGATTACATGTTTTTAAATTAATCCATTTTTTTAATCCCTTTTTATCTACTATTAAAAAACATTATTAATTCCGGTGCTTAACAAAAATGACAAAAATGCATTTTACCATTAATAATTTCATTTATGGATTTATTGAACACGATCAAAAACTATATTTTTTTTTATGAGTTGAACCGTTTATCTAACTTTAAATATACTTTTGTGATCAACTAGGATTTATTTGCTAATCTCGTTTGGAAAAGTTTAAATTAGCACCAAAACGGAGTAATACAATTTGGTTAAGATTATTAACGAACTACTTCAACTATCGACTTTTACTTATGTTTTCTTGTATGAATCTCTTTGCCCACGAATCCCGCTAGTTCCTGAGGCCATCCAACCCCATCACAACCCTAATCAACAACCGGGTAGCTCAAGTGACGCTAGCATGTGAACGCTGGTTCGCATCACAAGAGGGTGGCTAAATTTTCTTTAAAAATCCTACTATTCCTCTTGGGCCAAACCACAAAAAGGATTGTACTTGGAAAGACTTTGATCCTAGTTGTGAGACTTGGATATGGTGGCATCATTACTAAAAACTTAAAAACAGAACATTAAATTAGTTAAAGCCCGGTCTCCTAGCATTTCCTAGCCGTTCCTACTGGGAGGTTCGTGATTTAGCAATCAATCTGATAGTTTTGTTTGTATACTTTTCCCAGTTCCGTTACTATCACGAACTTTACTAGAGTTTCTGTCTAAAAACACTGATAAGAAACTGAAAAACAGATTGATATGTCCAGTAGGCAAGGATTTTCAAATCTACCAATCTGCATGGCAAAAACACAATACTCCTCACACAACGCTGCAGAGAAGGTAGCGCCGAGCGGATTCAAGTTGCTGATAAGGGACGTGAGGGCTAGCATTGGTGCTGGCTTCATTTACCCTTTGGTGGGAACCATGAGTACAATGCCAGGACTCCCTACAAGACCTTATGCTTTATACACTATTTCTTTTTGAACCTGAATCAATTTTGTCTAATATAAACTATCATGCCCAACTCAAGACGAATTAAAATCAAAGTTACGTATGGATAGTAAAGTTCGGGAAAGTTACTTTTATGGTCAAGGTTCGATTTATCCCTGATGTTTGAAAACACACCTTTTTAGTCTATGACTTTTGAGAAATAAGTTTAAAAGGTCCTTGAAGTTTTGGAAACGTACAAACGTACGTTTGGGAAAGTCCATGAATCTGGTCTCATCATAGGGCAGTGTTGGGATGGTTTCCAGCAAGAATTAGTGAGACCTTGAGCCCTCGACTGAAAGCCTGGTTGAACATAAGACGAGTTTGGAATGTCGATACAAATGGAAACCACGAAAGAAATGCAATGGGGATAAAGACAAGCATCCCCATCCCGGCATCATACAGACGAGCAATTGAGCAGATGGATTTCCAGAATCCCAGTTTCTTTATCACAGGTTTCCAAGCTGCTGCAATCTGAAACACGAAATATTCTTATGCCAGGATGGAGTGCTAACTAAATCTTGATCATAATCTAAATACCCTAGATACTAGCTGGGTAACAGTAATCTAAATAAATCCCTAGATACTTGGTAACCAACCATATAAATTATACGCAGTAAAACAATAGGACAACTAGACTCGGGAACTCACAGAAAGAATGCCCCATCCTGTAGGTACAAATGCCAAGATGCAAGCGAGTATATCAGGCAGTGACAAGTCTGTAATAGCAACCGCAACGGCCAGGCCAGCCAGAGTCAAAAGGAAAGATAGACCTTGGATAAAACGCGACAAAAGCTGAAAATTGACGGTCATTGTCTGGCTCAAGGTAAAAACCTGCAGAAGAGAAGTAGATCTAATGACTATCATGCATATTGGAAAACACAAAGGATACCAGTCGAGTCGATTGCACACACCTTGAAAAGAACTATAAGCCCAGCTAACACAATCCAGGAGAACCCATATACCTAAAGAGTTGCACATTTTGGAGATTACAACAAGTTAATAACAAAGAAAAGATGGCCTTTAAACTACTTGATGACTACAAAATATAATAACATCAAACTGCTGCTCATAATTTTTTTAAACTTTGGCATCCAATATTGGTAAGAATAAATAAGAAAGTGGAAAAATGTATTTCATAGAGAGACCATACCGACAATGATGTGTTTGATCCTTGCACATTGAGCTTGTAAACAATGCCATATTGAAAAATAAAAAATCTTAGATTCAGAATAGTCTCCGCTATCCGCCCTTCAAGAGTTTTTATATGTGCCTGCAGATTATAAAAGCACTTTACATTTTGACCAGAAAAGAATGACCCAGTCCAGCATAGGTTACCAAAATGTAATTATCTGGTTCATTGAATAGCCTTTATACAGGAAACATTTAATGGTAACTAACAGAATAATCTATCAATACATAAGGTAACATAAATCCATATCGGTAATTCTGTTTTGCCCCTTTACAGTACAGTTGTGGTTTATATATAAAAGCAGATGGAAGCTTATTGGGTGATTTCAAAGTATATCCTTTGCTGTTGAGTGATGATCATGTGGAGATCATTTCAAACAAAATGATGCATTGACTTGTAACCATAACATTGTTGCATTGAGAGGGAACTGATATTATTATTAAGTACAGACCTAACGAGCATTGCATTAAGGTTCATATAAAAAAAAAAAAAAAAGAAAAAAAAAAAAAGAGAAATAATAAAGAAGTACATAGAAAATTGAATTACCAGTTCTGAGTCCCACCATGCTTCCCAGCTTTCTTCACCCTTAACACCAATTCCACCACGGGAAAAAAGCCAATTGGTCCATTCTCTGAAGTCCTCCACGGTCCTAAAAGGAAACATAGGCAATTAGATTAAGATTATTTTTATCTGGAAGATTCAGAAGCTGTCATCTCCTTTTCACGCTAATAAGAAAAGACCTTCAAGGTGCCAAAATAAGGAAGAAACCGACGGAATGGTGAATATGACTTACTTCTGCCATTCAAACCCCGATGGATTGAACAAATAGGGAGCAAAAAGCCACGATATTGCCATGAACCAATTGCTAAGAGTGACAACCATGTATGCTAACGAACCATCTGAACTATATCCGTAGGCCATGTATACAACCAACAGGAGCACAACTTCCAATCTGAAAATACAATAATGTAGATACATTAATTATTTGTAATTAAGTATAATAAAACAGTAAGACACCATAGAATTAAAAAGTTTCAATTTAGTACTAATAATTTTAAAAATGACAGTTGATTCAATTTGGTTGGGTTATGAAAGTTCAATGTAGTCTCTATAGTTTGATCAGATCACACTTCACTTTCTTTAACTATATGAATACGTGCCATATTTTGTATTTGTGTGAAACGAGCTGGTACTTTCTAATTTGCCTAACTATGTTCACAAATTATAGTCTAGTAGAATTCAAGACAGCTCCTATAGGATAATTGTCTCACGTTACAACCTTTGAAAACTAGAATAATACACAATCTCCTCAATAAACCATCATGATGTAGAACCCAGTATCTCAAACATATTTGGGTTTATAGCTGGTTGCATTGACAACTTAAATAAATTAAAATAAGTTTTTTTAGATTTTAATTTTGATCTTGTCAAGTAAAGGATGGTGCCAATAGCACTACCCATAAGCTTAAGACAGTAATTTACACAAACAGCAGAGTTCAAATAATACATTAGAAAATTTTCATGTGAGAAGAGAAAGAATGACACAAACCCTTTAACAAAATGGCTGCGAGAGTACAGTCTGTAATTTTCTGAGAATTTGATATGGCGAACCACAAAGCCCCTTCCAGTTGCATGATACTGTATAGAAGTAGAGTCTTGAGATACTATATGGCAATCTTCGAGATTGACAAAGGAGCAGCAAAAATAGCAGAACAAACCTTTGCACCACCATGAAGAATTGTTCGCCCAAAATAGTGAGTATTTGTGCCAAGAGAGAATGTGAAGTAGACAGAACAAAGCTGAAGCTGCATGGTTATAAAGCTGACAATAGCCTGCAACCGTAATTCAGAATAATATCTGAGAGAAAATAAAAAACTGCTAAGAAGAAGATAACTAATTAATGGTCTCGTTGACAAGAGGACCGCTTGCACTTGCTCTAGCATATTTCAAACAAGGGTGCTTCATTGAACCGAAAAGCACTTACTGTTATATTTGAAGCTAATCTTCAGATTAGAGAGAGAGAAATGACAATGATATCATCATGTTAATGTTCAGATTATACAAGAGCAGTCAATTCTTTTTTCCTTACAACAGTGTACATATTTCAGAATAGCATTTACCCTGAAGAAACCTTGCTCCAAAATAAATCCCAAGATCATCGGCATTGCAGTGAAGATGCCATTTTGGATAAGGAACTGTTTATTCAAAGTAGCTGACATTGCAGCAGTAGCTGTAATATGGGCTCTATCTTCCATGCCCTCGCTAACTCCAGACAGTGCCTGAAACACAGCCGCACATCTTTTCAGTATATTATTTTCTGAAAAAGAGGAAATATTCCATACAAACATGTAAACTAGTCGTAGTTATGGGTACAAGTTGAAACCCAAAAACCGAAAAGACCAAATCCAATTTTCAAAACAGTGGTTCCAGAATCAATTTTGACCAAAAGACAATCCAATCGGACCCAAGCCCCTAGTCAGAGTTAAGTCCAGCATCACAGTGGTAAACAAGCAATAGAAAAGAGTACATCAGCAGATCTAAAAACAAATGAAAACTAAGCAATTAAAGAAAATTAACCCGGTAAACATTGAAGCCTACTACTTGACCAACTCCACTGGAATTCACCTCAACTGTATCAATCGAGTGTTTTAGTGCCTCTGGGATTTATCAAGAAAACTTAAAACTTTCGATTCTAGGGGCATAGAACTACTTCCAAACAACCCTCGTGAAGCTTATGACCGCATTATCAAGAAAGTTTTAAATTTACATCCCACTACAAAGCAGAGAACTTCTAAAGAAGAGAACATCTTCTATACCTCATATGTAGAAATATAGTAATTGCATACAATAAAACTTACCAAATATGCTTTTCCATAGAGAAAAATGTACACAGTCAACACCGTTAACTGCAAAAGATCATAAAGAAATAAAACGGATCAGATTTCTTATAAATTATGATGACAGAATTCTGAGGCTTAACTTATATTACTCATTAACATACAATCTTTTCAATAAATAGTAAGAGGTCTTGCAACATATTTCACTTCGATGCAAATGTTTCTAATTTACAAGAGAGGAGCATCAATACTTTTCCTAAGATGAGTAAACATATATCACAGGGACTGCCTCGAAACTAATATGGATTAGAAGCGGCTGGTATCCAAACTTAAAAGTAGGCATAATTGAGATATTTTGTACATTATGCATGTCATTGTGTGAAGGTACTCGAGTTTAAAAATAAAAACAAAAAAAGAAAAAAGACAAGATTAAAACACGTAATAAAGCATTAGCTTTTCAGAAAAGGCACGCAGTAAAACTATGTAGCAAAGATTAGGGCCTCTTTTTTTTTTCTTTTTTTTTTCACATAAACAAACCATAAAAATCCCTACTAATTGTGCGATGAATTCAAACAACTTCTCAATATAGGAATCTACATGTTGTATTGGCATACCATAGTACAAAAGTAGTAGCCAACGGTCGTAAAATAGAATGACATCATCCGGAAAAAATCAAACAGTTGGCCAAGTCTGTATACATCACGGCTAAGAACTTGTTCTCCATTACCACCAGCAACCTTCCCTTCGAAAAGAGCAATCTGATTAAGACCAACATCTCGTCCTTTACCGACCTGAAACAACTCAAACAGTTTCAATAACTTCACCACTTCAAATGATGCCAGATTAGAAAATTAAACGATGACAAATCTCACCTGAATATACTCATGATGAGTAACGTTTCCTTGTCGCAAAGTTGTATTAAATCCTTCGATACAGAAAGGTATACAGGTAATGAAATCGTATGTCTC